GTTCCTGTCAGGCGTGCTAGGGGTAAAAACAGCAGCTCTCATTCCTCCCTGTCAAACTACTTCTGAGTCATTTTTAACGAAAAACCCCAGCAGGCAATGTGCTACAATTCCCGCTTAATTCTTTCAGCAGACGACTAAACTGACTAGTGGTTTACAACTTTAGTTGCCACAAATTGCGCTACTGTGGATTTTTTTGGAAAAGAAGTCAACTATTGTGACATTAAGGAAATTAACTTGACCAGGAAACGCGTGTCACAAATCAGTGGATGGGATTTTAACCAGATTGAATACGTGGACTAAGTTTACACTATTTAAGCAGTATATCGAAACCTTAAATTGGTAGTCAGTAAAGAAAACTTCTTGATGACTTTTGACTAAAATGCTTGCATTCATTTTAGGAATACCGAGTTGAGATATTTGGCGATACACTGACGCTTGACCGTTTCTATATTTCCTTTTCAAATGAGTACTTTTGCACGTAAGAAAAGTGCTCTTCTGTAATGGATGATGCTAGGAACCATTCAAATGTATTAACGATGTTTTCTTATAGGGAGTTAAAATGTAAAAATCGGATGCTTGTAATTCTGAGAGTTAAAATGACATGCATAAGAGAGATAAAATAAGTTCTACCTATTCTTATTAAGTACACAATCGTGTAAACCAAATATCAAAGATTGGTTTAAGCTACATTCCCACTTTTGAATCATGCCTTTATTAATTAATCAGATTAATCTAATCCAGATCTGGCGTGTTAGCGTGAATCAGCTACAAATTCGTCATCTCCAGGACTGTGTTTGTAAATATGTCTACAGATTCCCATTTTTCAATGTCCTTCGTGCTTGTGCACACCCTTTTTTGTTTTCATACCGCCCGCTCTTTTTCTATTGGCCTTTTCAAATACGACGACTGCCAGTGTAAACTCAGTTCTCGCTTTTGAAAGACACTTGAAAGGTGGGCAGGACGCAAAGAACCAAGTCTGAAATCTCAGGTGACGTGAACATTTCAAGGAATAAACAAGCGGAGAGAATGGATTTATGTACTTTCATTGAAAGTGGTTTAGCCTTCTTGAAAACTGTCATAGCTCCGACAACTGCCTTCCCAAACGCGGGTTTTAAATGTTAGTAAATACCCTGATTTCTAAGAAACGAGGTTTGCAAATTAAAGTTGGTGGTTTGTCCAGTTCAAATGCCATCAACACAAATTCCTTGCTTTGAATTTGGGCAGAAGGCAAACGCGTTCAGTCAGTTTGGAACGTTGGCCTTCCCATTTGACATTGGTTTGCACAACCTAGTTCAGCCACTTCGATATGACTCAGTTTAACCTTGGTCGAATTACTTCGACTTCCAGTCGCCAGAAGTCGTTAATGTGACTCTATGACACAATAGAGCAAGCCTACAATGGCTATAAACCCTGCATTGGCTGTGAAATTTTCTGTGGAGCCACGGTATCTGGTCCGTATTCGACTACCCAAATCTGTAGTGGACTGACAGCCGCCCCGCGCAAGTGTGCGTGCATGAAGGCCCATGTGTAGCGATGACTCATCCCTTTTGTTATTGATTTTTGTCAGCATTCGCCTGTTACGCACGGGTGCTCATACGCACACAAAACCACTTGGCTGGTTCGACTCTAGTAAACGGTCGCGTTCTCTGTCGCCTCCTTTTTCCTATCCTCGGGTAGCTACGGGCTGTTAACTAGAGGGTTGTAAGGTAATGCTGAATCTTCTAGTCACTACAAATCCACGACTACCTCCTGGAGTTAAGCAAGTACTCTTTTCAAGTCTCGACCAAGTTTGCACCTTGTACCGTTCCATCTGGAGCTGCTAATTTCAGGGTTCAACTTGAGTTCGCTTGAAGGCGGCCCAGATGTTGTAGTGGTTGTGAGCCCAACTCTACCTTCATTCTTATCAATGTCATTATCTCCTCCGGTAGAGGCATTCACGACAATTCTCGAATCATCGTGATTTTAATTTCGATTATCCTAACTATGTGTGTGCCACAGTGAAAGCATGATCTTTGGAGACACAATCGGAATCCACAATACTCTACTCTGATTGTAGCCTATTGATCTGATTTTATCTGCGGCTGATTAGCCAATCGGAGTGAATTTTAAACGCTCTGAGTGACAACTTCAGCCGCAATCATCAAATCAGGAATTTAGTACTGGTTCACTAAGACGTGCAGTTCGCGCTGTGCATCCTGCGTGTGTGCGCATCTTCCCAAATTTGGCGGTCGGTGCACAAGGGTGCACTGGCAGGCACGCCGTGGTCGCGTAATCGATGGAGCGATCCCTGGTGGCCGTTTTACGACCCCATCGGCCACCTAGTCGTGTTACTACCCACAAAATCTCTAACGCAAATACACAACCTGGATAATAAGTCGGTCCGTTTCGAGTATTTGAGAATGGCATTTTATTTCGAACCAATTACGAGGCGTTATTGATTGGCGTCGTTGAGAAATAATCCGCTCAAAATACGATTATTGATTTTATTTAAAATGGGTTTAAACAAACCAGTGTGCATATTCAGATAAATGCTTAGCATTTTTCGTTCACATCTCGCTTACCAAGGTGGCCTCTGAGTGTTTCTTTGGTTTCAAAAATTTATCTTATGAAATAAATTACTAAACGTGACTTCGATAAACCATTAGGAATTTGGCGGCATTACTATAGATGTATTTTGACCTCAGAATACACATTTTAATTTGTTTTCTAAAAGTGCATTGTTCAATCATTAGCAAGAAATCTGTTGATCTTGCTTCGCTAAAAGCCTACTGATTTGGCCTCATTGTGACTGCCACAATGGGCATTATCCTTGCGTGCAGGCAGAGTAAATTGAAATGGTGCCTGCTTTGAATGGAAAACGCTAAGACGGGTACCTGGGGAAATAGTTTCATGAATGGTGCAAGCAGCAATTGAGTTTTGTTACGGTTCTAAATCACTTACCGTTGGTGAGGTTCTGGCCTTTTGTCGAATCTCGCAATAAATTGCACCTTGCATTCAAACAACATGCAAACCATCATCCTGCACAAATAGCACTACCGACCAACCAATTATGAAGCATCGACATTTTACGTCTCCTATTAACCTAGTCGTGACTTGTCTTGTGACACCAGGAGGCGACAAATTGCCTTTTTTTTTGACAGGGTTTAGCGTTTATTCTCTCTCAAATGAATTTCGTTGAAATGGTTCACTTCGAATTCACACGGATTGTCGGAATGGCATAAGCCATTAAGACCACCAACACCGTGTTTAAATTGGCGAGGGTAACGCCGTTTCCTCAGTGGGACGCACCGCTATCCAATTCATCGTCCGTGGGTCTAACCCCAGGCAGGTAATCATGAAAATGGAAGAAAAACCAAAGCTTAATTATGTTAAGAGTTAGGGTGGCGGTTACCTGTACATCAAACAGTTCAAGCGTGGCATGACAATTGCCGAAATGAGAATGAGGGCCAAATGAACTATTATTGCGTAAAATTTGCCAGCTAGGTTCTGTATCAAACAATATTGATCGTAACCTAACTCAACCTTTCATGAATCTTATTCCAAATAGACTCCAGAAATCTTTAGGGCAAACTGATTTAGCACAATATTCCTGTTTTGCTCTATTATCAATAAGTAAAACGAAACATATCCATTTTTTGTTCACAACATTTTTTTTAGAAAAAGATATCTGCACGTTTTTTTTTAAATTTTGTTTTACTGTTCAGTTCATTGATTTGCTGCTAAACACCTTAAAATTTTCCATTTTCTGAAAACACTTCTTCTAAAGCGTCCAAATCATCTGCTATTAGATAGCTGGCACTGACGAATTGCCCTCACATGCCTTATATGGGTCAACGAGCTGGGTAATCGTAATTTCTTTAAGTGAGGTCAGCAACCACTAGAAGGGAAGTACGCCGGTTGTTTAAATGAACATCCGCGTAGTTCAAATAAGCCATTACGCACACTGATTTTTCCTTTGCTATGTGTAATTTTTTTGTGAAATTTTAGGATGCATTTGGCCTTACGCACACCAACGGTGAAGCGAAATTGGCTTTCTGTTGGGGATCCACGATTCCCCAAGATTGGTTTCTGATGCTGTTTACACTAATTCACTAACATGTGTTTGTTACGCTTCGACTTGAATTAGTTTCACTTTCGGCAACCATCTCTGCAAGTGGCTGACGCGATTAAAGCTCTCTACGCGAGCTCTGGTCTTGTTCTTGTATTAGCGTGGGAAGGTCGGTTCTAGCGTCAACAAGGGATCTGATGCCGTTATTTGAGTAGTTTTTCTCTTTATTACGGACAAACGTAATACTTTCTGCCTGTTAACAAGAAACGCGTGAAATATGTGCCTATAATTGCGTGACCACATCGGCATCGACCGAAAACACGTCTAAAATATGACGGAAATGGAAGCAGACACCATCTCTGAGTCACACAACAATTCTCACATTAACCAAAATTTCGCGTTTTCGACTATCATCAACAATATCACTTGCAACAAAGGGATCAGTTTGTACCACGCCCCAAAAGGTGCTTGTTTACAATTAGGTTGAATATTAAAACAAAATTGCTGAATTGGCCGCATTGAAAATAGACGAACATGCCGAAACTTATGAAGTTTTAACGAATAAATTTTGAAATTGAATTTCGCGGGAAAGCTGGCTTGCAGTAGGAAGTGCGCGAACCCGTCTTTGCCCGATGTCACGTTCGCGAACGGGCTTGCACGAATCGCACAATCCGTGCTGCCGCGATCGATAGCCCCGCGTACACGCAAGGCCGCAGGAAGCCAACACGCAGCATCGATTCGAAAAGTACGCGCGTGGGCAGAGCCGTGGGATTGGCCGACGTGCCGTGACTTCCAGTCAAGGTCAGGTGATGCAGCCAATCAGGACGGCCGTTGGGATACAACTAAAGGACTACCTATATAAGGTATATTTTCACCCTGCCCTTGCCCCTGTTCACGTCCGGAGGATCTTTTCGTGCATTCACTGCTTCATCGCGCACCCAGATAGAATAAAATGAGCGACGAAGTAAGCTCCTCTTTTCACACTAACTCTGGTCCGTTTAACTGGGTGGCAATGTGTGCATTCATTTCACAAATGCTCAATTTATGCCTCATGCGATTAATAACCTTTGAATTCAGCTGCTATCAATATCGATCCACCACACCATCGCATTATTCTGTCGATACTTTCTTGTTTGTTGACGAGCTGAGTCCTCTTTTTCTCAGAAGCCATGAAACAGATAGAGGACTGATATCTTTTTAAACAACATGATAGGGATTAAGAGGGCATTTTGATTGATACCTGTTTCTCTATTTCACGCAGCCACCAAAGGAAGAGGTAGGTATTCTTGCCACAAAACTGGCTTATCAACGTCCAGTCTCTGTTGGTAATTCATTTTGCATGATTTCCTGTAGGCAGGCTTCTTCGTGTTCCAATTTATGTCTCCGTTTTTTTTCGCATGAAACCGAGTCGACAAGTCAAATGACCTTGGGGAAATTTGTTTTAATTTTTCAAATTAGTACTCATTAAATACACGTGTATTTTTGTCTCGTTAGGCAAAAGCCGAGGAAGTAAGTTATCTACTAACATCACAAGAGCCAAACGTGAAATATTATTGTTCTCCTCAAAATACATGACTTTTTTTAACGAATGCCTTGCAAAGCCCCCAATCTGTAGTCCCTTAATGCATTCGCAGTCATTTTGCACGATAACTGGTTGCGTTTCATATCCGCAAAGGCAAATCAACTTATTTAGACGTTACGAAGGTTTGTGTAGATACTACTCATTTAGTAAGTAGGCAGTTTGAATGTTAAAACATTGCTTAGCACCTAACTCCTAACGCAACGTTTTTGCTTGACCAATCCTAAATATTTACTCTCCGTTGAATACTTTTTATGTTATATTAGAGCAACTGGAGCAAATTTGGCTCTTACTAATTGAATTCAAACTGACGCAACACCCACCATGAATTCATTATATATTATTGATTTTGTTTAAAACAACTGAAGGCGCGAATTCACCCAACAATTTAAATGCCTCCTGGTTTTAGCCGAAGGTCGAGGAAACTAGTGAGGTATACTAACTTTATCCAAGTTATTCGGAAATAACTCTGCTTTGCTTTACACTTTATGGACAATGACACTTCAAACGGTCTTGTCTAGCTTAGTTCCGAGTTGATTGTGCCGCCACGGTTCGTTGCCAAGTTACGATTAATACTGCAACCTGAGCAAATTTAAACCTCTACCACTTACACAAACTTGCTTTGTTTTGTCAAGCCAAAAACAGAAGAGGTAAGCAAATTTAACTGGAACCTGCAGAAGACTTTGTCTGCGGCATGTCTGCGTCAGAGACAAACCAAATTATTCTGACCGTGTAACTCCTACTTGGGTATTTATTACATCATTTTATGATCCTAACCTCGACGGAAGTGATCGCATGTTTTCGTAGCTTAATCTACCTACTTATCTTATTTCAGTACTGTGTTTTTGATACAATGCTCAAGTGTGCATTTTTTGAAATGTAATTGTAGAAGAAGAAGCACAGGAAGTCCAAGAAGGAGGGCGACGCCGGTGATGCCGGTGAAGGCGGTGGCGAGAAGAAGGAAGGCAAGCGCGCACAGCGCGCCACCTCCAACGTCTTTGGCATGTTCCCTCAAACCCAGATCCAGGAGTTCAAGGAGGTGAGTACCCTGCATTATAAGTAGTATTTGTCCCCGTCAAGGAAGTCACGTGGCACCTTGGCTTCTGTGCTGACCTTGGTATGATCTTTGAAGGCCTTCAACATGATCGACCAGAACCACGACGGGTTCATTGATATCGAGGACCTGAAGGACATGTACGCCTCCCTGGGTCGTGCTCCCAGCGACAAGGACTTGAAGGAGATGCTGGATGAGTCACCAGGCCCTCTCAACTTCACCATGTTCATCAACCTCTTCGGCGAAAAACTCAACGGTACGTTACTACTAACGCTTTATCAGCGTCTGCGTGTTCTGTGGTTTAGAGCGCTCCCATCTGGAGTGTTTCTCTGTGTATTGAAATTGCCGCATCTCGTTGCCTAGGCACCGATCCTGAGTCCGCCCTCATGAACGCTTTTGCCATGTTCGACGACGACCACTCGATGTACATTTCCGAGGAGTAGTAAGTCTGGCTTTCAACTGCTTCTCTTAGCATCAAATCTCGGCGTTGGTGACCTTTCTTTTCGCCGTAATTTCAGCTTCAAGGACCTCCTCCAGAACATGGGTGACAACTTTAGCGAGGAAGAGGTGGGTTTGTGCTTTTTTATTTCAAGTAGCGAAGATATATTGATTGCAGTGTTCCGTACCTCGACTTTTTGTCAACACAACAGCGCATTGGTCCAAGAAAGGGACCAAGGATCTACAGTACTGTGCGGCAGTTCCACTTAGGAATTAATTTCTTTTTTCGGCGTCTTCGTTTAGATTCGGCAGGTATGGAAGGAGGCGCCAATTGCCGGTGGCAAACTGAACTACAAGGAATTCGTCCACATCATGAGCCACGGTAACGAGCAGCTGTAGCTCCACGTGTTTATCTTCAACCCAACTAACAGTATCCTTCCTTTGCCTTATTTCCACGCATGTAACCCTCACACACCCACCTCTTCTTGTTCTTCCGTCCTTTTCCTGTCCCCTTCTCTCGGTGCGTCTGTGCCGGCTGGAACGGGGCACTGTTGGACCCCCTCGTTTCCCGCCCCCACCCCAGTCTCCTGTCCGTTTTCTTGTAGTCAGAGGTGCAGTGCCTCTATGCCGTGAGCTGTTCACCACAGATCGTTGTCATTTTAACGCTATTCACGTGTCAAAGCGTCCCCTACACAATGTGCCCATTCTAGGCGGGTGGGGGGACAATCATTCCGTTTACTTTAACCAATGGGTGACGTCATTTTGCTCTCCGAATGATCGCGTGCTTCCACGTCGCTGTGGTCTTCCACGGCATTTCGCAGCACACCACCCATTGTCTAGTGTACAAGGTGTTCCACGCGCACAGCCTTGTTTAATTTTGCTGTTGATCGTGAGTTCCGCTAAGCCTCAGGCAACAGGACGTTGTGAAAGTGACTGCATGGCCTTGCACTGGTCCGCTTCTGCTTCTTCTACAAATCGATAACGGCCTGGGGAGTGTGTGGGCGGAGGTGATCGTGTTCCTCCTTGTGCCTTTGTCTCCCTTCGTCGGTTCTTTGCACCCCTGCTAATTAACTCCTTGGGCACTTCGCATTCTCTGGAAATAGATTTCTTTACGAAACACACTGTCTTTTTCTGCCTAGAAGTTGCGGTACATAGTATAATGTTCTCAAGCAATAATGTGTTTGGGGGTGTGTGAAATAATTCTGCACCAGGTAACACCACCTTGCAGACCCTGATTTCTCCATGGGAAATTCCGAAGTGGTACCTACTGGACAATACGGTTACACGTTGGTTTTTAAATGCCCGTAAAGTATTTATGAAAAGTCGTTATGTTAATCTAAATGGTGACATCGAATGACGTTTGCGTTTTTTTAAATACTCGCTGACACGGCGAAAAGTCCTCTGATATTATTCCCCTGTTGTCCAATCATTGCGTAGAGAAAACACACGCGAATTGGACACACCAAAACTCCCCATAACGCGTTGCTTTTCTGGTCTAATTAGACTAGGGGAAATGCAAAACTCGACCACCTCAGTCACGTGATCTGAAGTGACATCGCCCGAATCTTGGTCCTGTTTCTGTCGCATCGCCTAACCTAATTTTCACCCTATACGCTCGTTTGCATCAGCCTGGTTTTGTTCTTAAACTTTCGGCTAGCTCAACCACGCATCGTCGTTGGCTTTGTTGTGAATCGCGCTTATTCACATTCCTTAATCCGGTCGCTCCACCTCCGACACAGGGTTACCCTTTTCGCACCATGTCGCTAGCCGCGCGGATCCTCAACTCCCCTCCAATTAGCACGAACAAATATCCTAAATTATCCTCACACCTAGGCCTCGATGTTAGCGCACATCAGAGGTATAAATACACACGCGCCAACCCCACACACAGCACAACGGCACTAACGCGGTTGAGCTCTGAAGTAAACGGTTGTGTCCACGTCCGCTCCGATCTTTTTCTTCATCACGGGTATCAGGGAGGCGTAATCGGGTCAGGGTTAATTTAGTGGTTCCGGCGTGGTTCAAGACCACATGGTTGGGCCCACAACAATGCTAAATTAGCCGCCGGACGACGCCTGTCTTCTTGACGATGAACATCGAGTCTGGCGACTGCCAATCACCCTAACCTCATATTCGACTCTCGTTTTTCCTATTCTGGCCGCATCTCTCGACTCAACGACCTCGACATTCGAAGCCTGCTTGGCAAGTCTCTTCGATCCATTCTCGACTCTGAACCAGATCAAACGACGTCAGCAATCTTACGATTCGGCATCATGCACAACCTTGCCAACGATCAACAGTCCAGATATCCAGCTGGTAGAAAAGTTTGTATCACCAACAGTGATTCATCTCGACAACAAAAATCGATTATCACCGCACGCTATGGTAGGCCTGATCGATACACTGCCTGATCCCTCTTCTTCTTAAATCCTGACCTTCGTCTGTCTAAAACCCGATTCACCTCGAGTTTCGAATCTTGCCTAGTTTACCGCATTTTTGTTTCCATTTCGCTTAACTCGCTTTGGTTCTCGACTCTCAAGTGCTAGCTTCCAGGTTCCTAACTCTTCTAGGACACCGCGAGTCGACTGCACAATTCCTACGACCCACCCTTCGGAATTCCGGTTGGAGGAAAATATTCGCCAAGTCCTTTTACCATGGGGGAGAGCTGTGGCGAGCAGCAAGCGTGAGCGAGCATGATTCAATTGGTTTACGTGAATACACTTCGCGTAACTCGGTTCGTTCAAGGACCAATGCTTAGCGAAGCCATATAAACGCGCTTGTTATCCTGTACAGGCACACGAAGCTACTGCATCAATAACTTACTTGAGCTACGCGCCATCTACATTCTCCATTCTTCAGTGTATATCGCCAGCCCTGTTGTGGTTTTCTAAGCGCATTGGGTGGCCGCAACAACACCAACGACCTTGGCAATATCCAAATCCCAAGGTCACGTCGCAAACTGTCCATTAGGAAAACGGGTTGTTTGAGTGTGCTGGATTGGATACAACGTCAACTAATTGGCCAAGAAGTCGACGTCTAAGCTAAGAAGCGGCCGACTGTGAGAGTAAAAGCTGTTGGGGATTTCGGCTGAAGTTGTGGCTGGTTCTGTGGAAAAACCTTTTGGTTGCGTGCAGCTACCGCGCACAGTTTGCGCCTCAGGATTAAAGGCACACTCTAAAGGATTCTGATAAACGATAAAGCGGAGTTGATTGAACGTCGACCTGTCATCACCCGTGTTACTTTCTGCGTTTGATGTTACCGCTCTATGAATTTGTTTAAATTGTCAATCTTGATATGCATTTTGGAGGCAAGATCTAGCTGGTTTAAGGTAAATCAAACAAATCACTATGAGAAATGATTGATACCTGCTGCATCGCCTAAACAATTTAAACAAGTTGCTTCCCGTCACCAGCGAGAACAGGAATTTGACATGAATGAGACTTGTGCTAAACTTCTGACTAACTTGGGCAGAGTCGCATTAATTCAAGTTACTATACTTTGATCTTGCCTTGCCACAGAAGACTAAAAGAAAGGAATTTGCTATGTTGTGGTTATCACCAAGCCGATGTTTTTCTGGTTGGTAACAAATGCTTGGTGAACTATCCTGGATTGTCAGTGGAAATTCTCAATTACTGCGGGTAAACCTGCGCATCATCGGGCTCGTGTGCGCAATTTGTAACGTTCAGTATCACCAAACATCGTTCACACCAGCGAAAAAGTACCCTGGATTTTCTGTGCACGCTTGGATAGGGGACTCCGTCAGCTCATTTCCCCGCACACTGCGTCCTCCACGAAGGTTTCAGAGGTGACTTGCAACCAACTTAACCCACCATTTCAGCTGAGGACATCGGGTCAGTGTGTAAAGACTCTTGGCAGCACCTAATCACGACGCTTTTGGTTACTGACTGTGCATTGAGAAATCTGTAATGTTGTGCCTTGGCGCTTTTAAGCCTGTAGTCAACAGTTGACCACGATTTTGCCCTCATACTCAGCATCATTTGATCTGCCATAACAGGTAGATTTATCAACCAACCCTCAAGGCTTTAACTAAGCTACTAGGAGAAGCCGCATGAATTGTAAATTATCCCATTTGAAAAGAGTTGCATATGACAAGTTTCATCCTAACATTTTGCCTATCCTGGTAAAACTGAACTGGGTGCTCGATTGGAGAAGCAGAGTGTAAACTGAGTCATCGCTTTGGTGGAGCCAAAAACGGTACAAGTGTGTCTTGTGTGCAGAAGTCAGCTTCTCAAAAATACGCCACATTGTTGTGCCTTTTGATAGCGACTTGACCCTAGAAGTAATCAACACCACTGGCTCAGGCTGGTGCCTAAAAAAGTTGAATTTTGATTTTTCCTTTAAATAACTAAAGCTGCGCACAATAACGCCGTTTTTGTGGTCACTGGATCGAGTTTCGGTATCTCCAACGCCAATTGGCGCCATGTAACATTCTGCACTTAGCTTCGGTTTAATCTGTTGGGTATGATTACATCATCTCCAAATCAGGAGCGTGTCACAAATCCGTGGAGCAGAAGGCAGTGAATGCAGAGTAGTCTGGAAATTTCAACAGCAAGTGTGCATTTTGTGTGCAGGCAGTAGTCATTCAGGCGCTGAAACTCACGGAAATATGGCCTAATTCTTATGGATTTTTTCAGCAAATTTATTTAACAAAAAAGTACAGGACAGTATGGTCCATCTCTCGAGACCCAAGTTCTAGGTTTTCCTTGATGGAATTCGTATAAAAAGCAGTGCCATCGAATGTACTGCTTATCAGTTGCCATTGTAAATTAATTTACGCCCATGATAAGAGAATAGTTGATTTCTTCAAGTTGACGTGCTGTGACAAAGCAGGATGCCTGTCCTACGTGGTTTTCATTACAAGAGGACAGCTGATTGCAATGTCTTCCTAGTTACTATGTGGGAACTGCATCGTGACTACGACAAAACCTGCTCTTTGTGGTTTAAAATCGAGCGTTTTCATCGTCCCCTACCGCCAACGTCCCTTTTCCCACCAAACCAAATGCATTTTGCCACATTGTGTGATTTAGCTCACGAAGTAATCCCGAGTCTTGTCATATCGCCAAGTGTTTCATCAAATTGCACATTTCAACCGACAAGGTTCCTACTTAATTCTTTCATCAGCTGGCATATAAAGTAGTGACTCTACTACTCCCTTCTACTTTCTCGTACTCACGCCCACTTAAACCCGTGACTCGCCACAGTTCAAGGCGGTAAGCATGGTTTATAAAATGATCAAACAAAAATTGGAACAAAAGTTTTTTTACTAATTTCAAACCAGCATGTTTGAATCCCAAACCACTGGTCAAATTGCAGAGGTTCTGTCACTTAGACATAGTCTCGCGTCTGTCTGGTTATGTGAGGGGTGATACTTTTCATCTTGGAATCCCGGTTAATGTATTTGACCTGGCATGGTATTATGTCTAGGTTGGATAGTTAATCTGATTGTCTATGGTCGCATATTGACGCGAATTTCTGCTTGAACTCGTGTGTGTGTGTGCGTAAATCTTGTTCTCAGGTGCACTCAGGGTTCACGTCTGCCTTATTGAGGTTGTTCCATGTGGGGATCAACAACGCTGACGTGAATCTCACACATTTACACGACGTTTTATTAAACAAAAAATTACTTATTTGACTTCTCGAATCTACAACCTCTAAATACACACGATTTGGGTAGGAAACAGTTTGGTTATAAGGGCGCCGTTATACAAATCAATTACGATGGCTTAGCACCCAATCCGAGCTAGGGCAATTCACACCACATGCACAGCCATAGCAACGGACACCCTAAGTGTAGAAACACATAGCTGTGTGTGTGTGTGTGGATAAGATTCAGATTGTACTGGTAAAGCATTCGTCCTAATGAAGCTTCTACAAGATGAAAGCGAAGGTCGTAAAATAGCGATGGCCGAGCGCCATTGGGTTCTATCAAAAGTTCCACTTAATCTGTGTCATTATAAAGACGGCTTAAGCGGTCTCTCACCAGTCCGTCGTATTCCGCCGAAGGCATTACGCAGTTCACAATGAGCTTCATACCACTGGAGTGTAGGTTTGAGTTTTCAGACAACGACTCGTTCAAGTCCGAGGTGAGAAAAGTCGTCCTCTGGCCGTGCGGAAGGAAAATGATTTGGTGGTGGACTTGGTTCCTCGCCTCGGCGTTCTTGAATTCCACTTTGTCCAGGTAGTGGAGCAATATGTCTCGATCCAACGGACAGGTCACGTCAAACGCCTTCGTGGCGTAGACAGTCTGGAGGTACTTCCAGAGTTGCTTCAGCTCGTCGGGAATGTTGAAGTACCGGTAGAATGCGCCGGCAACACGGATGTGGTGCAGTTTGCACACCAGAACACAGTCCGAGTAGGAGAGGCTGTCACCCTCGATAAATACGTGATTTGCCTAGTGATTGAGCAAGAGGAATAACGCTAGTGCATTCTCGACAAAAGGACTGAGGTGATCACACAAGGTGTTACTAGAGATTGTTTGCCAGATTAGGTCACGTAGTTCCATTAGCATTTTCAATAAATATGCTGCACTTTCGTTATTTCTGTGTACCTGGTGTATACATTTCTCACATTTAACACTCCCCAAAATCATTAAGAAATGACATCACAACCAATTTAAAAGACTCGTCAGGTCTGCAGTCTAGTAAATGTGCAGGATTTAGACGGAGATGGGTCAGTTATCAATCGTTAAACTAGTCAACTACTATGACTTAAAACCAAATCCGATCTAGGGCGGATTCCGTGGGCTTTTGTTATTATCAGGGGTCAAACCAGCAGCGTAGGACAAAATCGCAATGTTTGTGTACAAATTAATGAAAGTTACGTAAACATTAAAATCTTTGAAACACCAACTGAACTGTTAGGCTAACGACCTCGTGAAGTCAACGCCAAACGTCTACACATCCTTCGAAAATTCTTTACGCAGATTTCTGAAATTGTATTGCATTGCTTAAAAATCGGAAATCTACATAGCCATGGCAAGATTCCGAGACAATTTTCCGGCAAACCAGATTTAAACGTTTGGAATAAGAGTACCATTTATTGAACTAACAAAGTCTATTTAGGTGCGTATCATGTAGGGCTAAATTTGCTAACGCTTTCAGAATCTATCAACTTCTGCGTGATAAAATGACGCCGTAGAAAAAGATGTCGTCTTATCTGACGAAACATTCTACCGTTTTAATCACTTACCGAACTGTGCTAGCTGAATATATGCCATTATCTAGCGTAGCTTTTTTTCGTGAAGACGTCGGTTTAGTAATGTTTACGAACAGTCAACGACTTGCCAAATCACAATTTGCCAGTCAGAAATGGCAAAAACCTTGACCGCAATTCTTGAAACCATCCTTACTTACAGCAGAAAATTTAGGATATTAGCCGATGTTGAGTGTGCCAATTAATATGAGTAGCAGTAGTGTTGAGTGTTGGATTTTCTTCAATTACAAAGGTTTTCCAGCACATAAGTCAAATTCAAATAAAGTGTTTAAAACACGCCAGGGTGTACTTACTTTTAACAGGTAATCATTTATGGCGACTAGGTTAGCCACAAGTTGTTGCGAGTAGCCAGTCCGAAGGAGATAATTGAGGTTGCGTAGAAGATCCGCTCCAACCCACTGCTCGGCGGCATCCACGTTCAGTTCGGAGGCGAAATTGGTCTTTATGAATTCCTCCAACTCATCGTTTCCAGCCCTCACAAAGTCCGGATTCCCGCTGGTCTGGCCATCCTTGTGAGTGCTGTAATAGGCAATGGCCGGGAGCCTCCTGCCCGTATCCAGGCGTGTGTATTCGAGTGGCGGATTGGCCATACTGACGGGAATCACACGAAGGTTTAGTCTTCGCCTGTCCACGAGCAAGTAGAACACCATGAACCATTTCTGGGAGAACGGGCAGGCTCCCTTGTCACCAGGATCCACGGAAGAAGACTTCACAAATAGCTCCACCAGCGGCGGCGGCGACGTCATGGCAAATTGAACTGGCTTTTCTGTGCGCCGGTAACACCTTATAACGACCTTCATGGAGGCCTGCGATTGGTGTGTGCAGCTAAACGTGCTCGCGTGCAGACATGTGCATTTAGAGGTCACAAGAGAGAAGAGGAGAAGGCGGATTCCGAAGGCTTATATTATTATCTGGGGTGAAACACTTCTTAATCGTTTGCATAAGCAGCGTAGGACAAAATCACATTGTTTGTTTTAATGGTTATGTACAAATTAATAAAATTGGCGCAAACATTTAAATCTTTGAAACACCAACAACAGAACTGTTAGGCTAACAAACTCGTGAACTCAATGCCTAACGTCTACAAGTCCTTGAAGAATTCCTTGCGCAGGTTCCTAAAATTGCGGCATTAATTAATGTTAACCAAACCAACCGCCTTTTTAAATTTACAAAATGTGAAATGCATGCTGCGCGCTTTAATGTGTCGCAGCTTGGCTTGGAACCAACGGGACATGAATTTATCATGTCTAACAAAACCTAAGTCATTTTCGTTCTCACATCACTGCGAGTTATTAAATCATGTTTGTAATTTGTGTATTAATTGAGCATTAAACAAGTGAATGCATGTAACAGTAGTTTACCTTTCTTGAGATCACGTATTTAGAGAATTCTACTCACAATTTTTATAGCTACCAGCAAACTTACTCCAGTATATAACGCCGTGCATCCCACAGCAGTTCCGATGGTAAATTGTGTTCGGAAACCGTTGTGAGACTCTTGCCAATCCATTCCCAGTGCTCCAGCATTATCTCCAGAACCTTTAAGGTAATTTTAGCTATGCTAAAGCATGCAGATTGTAGACTTCACTTTCAAGCCAAACACATTAGGTCAGTAAAGTTTAAATTAGGATGCAAATTAATAGTGTACAAATCGGTGGTGGTAAGGTTGATGCTTGCTAAATGTCCTTTTAAAAGCCAAGCCTCAAGTCATCCTCTGAAATGAGCCTGATTTTTGACATTTTCTCATCTACTGGGCATGATTGGTGTGTCAAATTGTTTCCTTCAATTCTATTGGTTGACAATGTGGAACCGATTAACCAGAGTAAATTAGGTCGATGGATACCACTTTCGGTTGCTTAGCATGTTTAAAATTTAGCTACGAGATGTGCTTACAAACAAGGAAATCAGCTAAAATGTGCAACTTCTTGTGAACTTGCTAATCAATGTGTTTACGATGACTGAAATGTGGCTTATCTGTCACAACGAGGAAACGCCAATTTCATCTCGATCTATGTGGCGTTTTGTAATTCCCACACATGACACCTACGTTTGTTTTCAATTAACAAATGAGTTAGCTGACCCTGTCATTAGACAACCTGCAACACACACTTCGCGTTTCCTGTTTAAAAAGGCGTTAATATGTGGGGTTAGCATCGTCACAAGATCAGTAGTGTCTGTGAGGAATCGAAAAGTAATCCAGCGCCTAATTTAGAACCGAATTAACTGCAACAAATTTGCACTAGAACAAACCCCAATCACCTAATGCCACGTCCTTCAACTTTTCCCACAACCGTCTCCCAATGCCTTGAGAGCCTTGGATTCATTCTTCTGCAGAATCTGCTTGGTTTCTTTTCACAGATACATTCAAACTAGCTTTAAACTTCATGCACAAAACCAATCTTTTTTCTTGCCATCCAAATCGTTTCGCAGAGAACGATGCGGGTGAAAATCTAGAACCCCATGTACCTGGTTTCAAAGTGAACCCAAGGTGTTTTAAATGCCAAAAAGCAGAAGAATTTTTAACATTAAGTCTTGCGATAACCGCTTCAGTGGTAGTCCATGAACTACCATTAACCCAAACCTTGGATAAGACTATTTGTGATGCCGAAAAGTAGCCCAGAGAGAAGATTACCGTTTAGGATGAAGTCAACGCTTTAAAATCGACTAAATCGCTTCTTACTTCTTCCTAAACTTATGTAATATAACACGACGGTTGACTTTGATTTTGACTTACGGTGCAGTCAGCCACTAATAGGATTAAAAATATATGCATAAACTCTGTCAAACGTTCACGCTTCTGTTATCTACGGAAATCGGTCATGACGGTCAATAATCACACAACAACCTAATTGTGGACACATCCTCCCCTGTGAAATCGCCAATAGTAGCGATTTCAGGAAAACAATGCTAAGAGGAGCTAACCTTGCTACAATGCGCCTCGATTCCAAAGAGGCAGGGAGTGAGGCAGATGGCGAACGCCTCGTAGGCCATCTTCTTCTTCTGCTGACTCCTGAGCACTCGCTGGAAGTGGTCCATCATGAAGACGAGAGTGGCCAGTCGACAGCGCGCCTCCGAAGACTCCTCGGGGCTGTTGCACTCGTCGATTTTAAACGCCTGTTAACGACATGTGCTCACGGTGTTCATTTTGGCACATTACCTGTACTACTCTGTAATTTCCAGTTTTATACTTAATACGTGTAGAATGACCGTAGAAGTCGTCAATTTTCTCGGAATCTATGGTCTGATTCGGCTAAAATTCCCAACAGACAACACCCAAACGGTCTGATTCACGCCTATAACACTTCTGATTTCATCAAATTTTAGCTGTCTAATAACAAGTAGAACACAATACGTTTATGGCTTTACCGCCAAGTAGTATTAACGTTTTAGTTTTGTTTTAAGTTACAGTTCCTAACTACTGCAGAAAGTACTTTGGTACATCCTATTTACCACGAGCAATGTTAGTTTCTAATTTCACAGTTCAGATTGTCCTTAATAATGCTTACAGGGATCTTTTCGAAACAGTTAAAGTGACACGAAGTTGATTAAAGTTCATGCCTTAGCTGGTTCCAAGTGTTTTGTTAAAGCTACACCCAATCAGATGCAATCCAAGATCAAGCGGCACATTTTACAATCACCTTCACTCCTCTAATTGGGTAATTTTAGTCACACCTTGTTCACATCTAATTTCACATAGACGTTGGTGCTGAAACCTTGATGTTTTGTGGTGATATGACTTGAGGAATGAGGGCTAATTAGCACGTGATGGGCATTAAACTTAATTACATGAAATTTTACCGTTGCGAATCCATCTTCTATCTTGTATCTGATTGTGCACAGAATTTCCGTGCGTTTTACCAGAGTCGTTGCTTCCTCGCTGTCGAGCAACTTCATAACGGAATCCCATGAGCCTAAAATGCCGATTTATCTGTCATTAATCTGAGATATGCTTGCCCATCACCGCACTAAATTATACATACCGCAGTCCAGGAGTTTTATAGGCAGCGACATGAGATATTTCTTCACCAGCGACGTCAGAACAGCACTGCTGTCCATGCCCTGAAGTGTGAATGCCTTTTCGAGGTCATGGGGCCACTAAAAATCACCAATTGTCGATGAGTCATCCCATGTTGTGCACACCTGGCCACCACAACCCTTCACTTTCACACGTTACTGCTGAACACACCTTCCATCGACCAGGTGTGATACTTTTCCACATTAGAACACACGCGCACACATTTTGGTTGATATCCACAAGCTGAGGGGGCATAAATCGATAAACAACGCATCAGTAATAATCGATTTTCGCGCGATTCTTTGAGGTCTGATCCCATTGGTAACGATAAAGTGTGAAATTTATGCACAAAATACCGACAATTATCACAGTTTGTTAAATTTTAAAAGTGAATCGACCAATTAAAAGTACCTTGATTTAACCCCTCATTCGTTGGCGATTGATGAAATTGGACACATGTTTTCGCAATTATTGATGGTAAAAAGTTTGGCAGGTTAATGCAAGTTGAGTCAAAACAAGCAGACAGACAGACCAGAAAATTTAGCCGCTGTCATGGCCGTGAAACGTGTGTCGATGTGCGGATCCACCTAAACTGCTTCTAGCTGCATATTTACCAAGTCAAACCCTGGCCTACATTTACAAGGATTAAATGTTTAATAGGTGAATCTGACAGTTGTTAGGCAGTCTAAAGTCGTGCAATATAGCTTAACATTCTTCTTTTTGTAACAAGCAGTTATTCCACGCACAGGTAGTGATAACTTGCCTTATTGATGAATTCCACAACTTCGTTGATTACGGAGGTCCTTCCGGGGACACGATACAGGCCCTCAACTGCCAAACCCCCTGCCTCAAGGGAGCCAACTAGCATCTCCAGCAGACGCGGTACGCCCTTTCAAATAGAAACACTACAACCATTTTACAATTTACAAACATTCTCTAATTGGAATAACGCCTGTTGTGAGCCATTAGCTTCAAAAATAACTGTGTGAATGGGAAAAAAATTTAAAACACAGATGATTGCTGTCTTTGGAGTACTAAATTCAGACAGCACTATTACTACACTACCTTAGAATAAGTCTGTTTTGATGTAACTAAGTAAGAGGCCTTAACTGTCTATTTTCCTCAACATCGAGGTTCTATAAACTTTCGTTCGTGGGAACAATAATTCCTAATTTCGCTAGGAAAAACGTTAAATTTATGAGAACAACACGTGAATTGGTGGAGTCAACAGTGTCTGCAACTCATAGACAAATGTGCCTTCTATCCCTAAGGTTGTTGATTAACAATCAACCCATACTTGAGCTAGAATTGATCCATCAAATAAATCTTATGTTTTTTTGCTTACTGGATGCAACGTTGATTGGGGTTGGGACGACAAATATGCTCCAAACACAGAACTAGGTGCTGCTTTGCGACAATGCGACTTATCCGGAATATCTGGAAAAGAAAAAGGTCGAATTTAAAAGCTTGTTTGTGTCTAAAGGTGTCTAATTTCACTGGCGCTTGCATTAATGGATGCATGGTCAACTCACAGCAATCTTACCGAGGTAGGAATTTTCATTATTTTCATTCCATGATTTACGAATTCCGCAGCGTTGTTTTAATTTTTGCAAGGAGTCACTCAGCCGGTTTTTTATCATTACCTTCAAATCGCGGAAAGCATACTCTGCTTCACTGTTGGGCAAAGAAGATTTAAAAAAAAAGAATAATTAATCAATATTTTGCTAATCAGCTGTTTGCGTTCGCATCAAACAGACTGGATCTGCTTCCCGTTGTCGCATAAGATGATGCGCGTTAAATTGGAGCCTGACAAGATTTTGTCGACAAAACACCACACAACACACAACAGAGCAAGGTTCAGATATCGATTTTTTTCCCGGAAAATTGAATTTAGCGGGCAGTCTAAATTTAAGTGCCGCAAGCACTTAAACTTGAATGTCTGAGCTTTTCACAAGACCTGATTTGCATTTTCGACTAAATCAATAGCAGATTTTAGAATGATCGATAGCCAAAAGGTTAAAATGGCTGGTTTGGCAACAGTGTTCTGCTAAGACAAATGCGTATTTCGTTTATAACAATGCTTCATTGCGTACTGAACAAAGAGATTTTTAATTGTGCCTTAGCTTTTGGTTTAGATATCGGAAGCAGCCACAGTAACCTTTACGAAACTGAATGTGCGAACACGTGTGCGACTTTTTGCACCACGACTGATCGCATGGGGTTTCATCTGGTCACATGTCGTGCGGTCAAATGGCAAGTAGATTTGAGAACTAACAATACTGCCAGATACTTCGACCTTGAAACCTCTCCACAGAACACCGCATATGCTGCATCCGTCGTCCCAGGCAACGTCAAATTGACGCTACTGGTCTTACCTTTACAATTGTAGAACAACTTAGCGGACCCCCAGTGGTCGATGGGTTGGTTGCTATAACAACCGCTGGCGTCATTCGGCCATTTTGTTAGTCTGCTTAGTATGCGTTGATAAATCTTAATCGCACTTGCCCGACTTCGGAGGACGTGATCTAAAGTGAATTCTCTCTCCGGCTTAGATTTGATCCTACAACTGTTTCTGTCATTCACAAAAAGTCAATCCGTGTTGCCATGGTTACTGAACGCCAACACTTAGTCTTTTGTAGAGGTACGGTGGCGCGAATGTCAATCAAATTTACTGCGCAAATCATGTAAGCATTGAGAAAATTTGCCTTCGCGTGGTGAAGGGATAAGTCGTAAATCGTGTTGATTCACGTCCAGCCTCACACACGCGTCCCCCTTATCACGGCGTGCCGATCAGTCGCAGGGACCGCCTGCTCATTAAACCCTCTGTATGTACCGCCACCGCCACCACCACCACCACCACCACCACCATCATAATCATCATCTTCACCGTCATTATCATCACAATCATCATCATCATCATCAAAACCACAACCATCACCAACATCATCATTACCACCACCTGATGTGGTTCTAGATAACATGCCAGGGCCCTCAACAGTTAATAGACTACGAGCTACTTAAAAAAACACTATTTCACTTCCGTAACCTTCAGCCTACTGATATCGCATCGAACAAGCCCTGAGCTGGACCACTTCATGGTTTTCCGACAAAACGACGCAAAATGGTTGTCAAAATTAGTATTTGGTTGCTAGACCTGTTTGGCTAGCAGATTTATTGAAACAGAAGTCAATTGATAACGAGAGCAGTTCAAGCAGACCAAGTGGATTCATCACCCTAACGATTTCGAGTTCCCCAATATTCTAAAAGGCAAAATAAAAAGCGTATTTAATGAAAAATATTGGAGACTCATTGCACAGCAATTCTGTAACAACTTGAAGGTTTTAAATTTTAGAAGGTTATTCAGTCTCGGAAAAATCGCAAAAATAATGCTACTACCACCATTTAAGTACAAAGTAGTGTCTCGCGCATGTCAGCATGTTGGCGTTCTAGCGGTCGTCACGCAATAAGCAAGCGGATACGAGGACCCACTTTGGTGAGCCGTTTCAGCCCAGACGTGTGAAATTTAATGTCTGCTCATTATCAGGCAATTAATTTTCACGAAATAACAACAGAGATTATTGCTTCACAGATGATTTCTTGTGCATTGTTACCGGCCATCTTGCGACAAAAGACAATAAAATCAACCAAGATGGCGACTTACTCAGTTCGGTGTTTCTTTTTAATTGTTGTTTTAACCTCCTCAAGTTTTTCGACTTCATCGCTGGTCAGTTCAAAATCAAACACCTGAAATGATAGAGGAGCATTATATAGGAATTCCCGCCACCATCCATTGAGTCTGCTTTTGTTGGGAGATTAAAACATTTATTGATTTTTCATCATCATTTGTTTTGATGAGCACAATTTTGCATTCAAACCGGCCGCCCTCTTCCTATTGGTCCATTCTTCTTTGAATGAAACATTACTCAAGGCCGCCCACTCCACCCATTCGTGGGCTCATCTGAACGCGTAGTGGGCTTTCAGCGAGGGTTGTAAAAAACCTCCCCGCACGAGATCTTGTCATTTCCTAGTTTGGTGTTGGCTGTGACCCATTTGTGCTTTGACTCTGTACTTAACCGGACACGGGGGTCTAGATATTTGCGCTTTGGACACCGCTAAATCAGACCACTTTCTCACATGGACACCGGAAATTACTGGTTTTCTATTGGTAGCTTTAGCAACAACAAGGTTTGAATAACAGCAAACAAGGGTACACTAAGCCCGTTAATTCAGACGAAACACCGGCGCCTAGATGTACTTGAAGGCACTAAATCTGAGTCGTAGAGCCAACTCCGCCGCATTCTTTTCCCCTGTTGTTGTTAAATCAGCTTGATGCTACCACTTTGACCAACACCAAACGAAACAGACTTGTTGAAAATCACCAAGTTTGTAAATTGAGTAAAATCAATTGTTTATTTCCTCCAAAGGTGATTACACATGCAGTCCCACCTAATCGATGAGGTTGGATTGGATGGAAATCTGTGGTGAACTTACGTCAATGTTTGCTCGAATCCTCTGTGGGTCTGTGCTGTGGGAAAGCACAATAATGTCTCTTTGAACTGCCTGTCGAATGAGCAATTGGGCTGGTGTCTTGTGATAAGCCCTGGCCATTTTGCATACGTCTTTGTTTTCAAGAAATTCGTTTTCCCTGAAAAAGACAGTCATTAACTGCGCGAAATCCCTATTACTAGAAGCTAGTAGACAGGATCAGGGGAATCGGTTTTGGGTTTAAAAACGGAATCAGCGCAACACGCAAATGTCTGTCACACAAACATATCACGCGTCCAATAAGATGGACGCCAAGTTTTCTGAAAAAAGAAGCATTCAAAAATCGATTTCCGGTAAAGGCAAGTGATTGAAATGCTTTACAAAAGTTTTTTTAAATTTTTATTTACCTAACCTGATCCACATTAATGTGAAATTAGCTTGTGCGTTTTTATAAACGCGTCATTTAGAGTTCTAAATAAGGAGATTTTTTTCTCCGGAAAACAATATTCAAATTTATGGAAAAGTGCTTAAAGAGTCGAGCAGATAAAGAGTCGTGGCGATTTTCTAAGCTCGTTTCATCACGTCGAGGTCACCAACTGCTGTGGTCCCCAGCATGTGGTCTTGAACTACGCCGGGGCCACGGATTTAACTCTGGCCCGATTGCGCTTCCCTGATACCCGCGATGAAGAAAAAATACCGGAGAGGACGTGGACACAACCGTTTACTTCAGAGCTCAACCGCCTTGGTGTTGCTGTGCCGTGGATGGGGTTTGCGCGTGTGCATTTATACCTCAGATGTGTGAGCCATAGAGGCGCTAACATCGAGACCTGTGTGTGAGGATAATCCAATGCTCATGGGAATAAGGGGGGAATTGAGGATCCGCGCGGCTGGCGACATGCTGAGAAAAGAGGAACCCTGTGTCGGAGGTGGAGCGACCGGTTTAATGTGTAAATCAGCGCGATCCACAACAAACTACATCATCTTTCAAAGCCCTGTCATAACTGATAACGCGATTTGTTTGTGACACTTGATTTGATACATGCAGTAACCTTGACTACCATTGAGCTTTCGTTCCTACATACAAAACTTAGACACCTGTCCCTAGTGGTAGTCGTAGTTAACTGACTGCTTAATGCGTGACTCTTGTTGATTAAAAACAGCTATTTTGAGAGTGAAAGGAAACGCTATTTCTTGTCAACGTTTCTAGGGGTTTTGTTTTATAACAAAGCGAGCATAACTACAAGCAACTTCCACTTGGACAATGCTGCGTCTTCGCTATCAAAAGTTCCGCCTATTTTCTATTCGACTTATTTAAACACCTTTTGAGTTGGATCCAAGTTAATTCGAATATTTAGAAAGCAAAAAGTGAAACGCTAAACAACATCCCTCAAGTGGTAATTAAAAGTGCGATTGGGCGACTTCGGAACAGTGCAATTGCACTTTTAACCCATTAGTAGTCTTAAGCGTAAACTGTCACCTTTTAACCTCATCAACCACAAGTTTGCCCGGAATAGGCAAGATTGAAATTTTAAATTACCATAATCGGATCCACTTCTTGAAACTACCTTATGCAATGCTTTCAATATTATAAAGCTTTACATGGAAGCGTAATTTAATAAAAAAAAGCGTTTTCTTCAGTGAGAAGAAAACACGTTTTAACCATTCATGTGCCGTAAAGTCTGAATTTTCGTGCGTGCAATATTGCTGCACCAAAATTTCGTTCCTGTTGCATGAGAAATAGCTTGTTAGCATCAAGCTTGGTGTCAAATACCACAAGAAATTGGATTTTTTACCCAACCGGGGATTGCTTTTGCAGTCAGTAGAGGACCTGCAAGAGAACCAGTCAGCTAAACCAATCAAAACCACGCAAGTTTTGTGTGAGTGTGGGAATGCCTACACTAAGCTGGTTGACACGACATCAAAACCTAATTATGAGAAAAACATTTAGAAACCATCGTAGGCAGAGGGCAAACTTGGCTGCGTAAAATGCCACAGGATAACTGAAGTTTCAGGCCCCAGAATTGAGTCACATGCTTACTAGCCCGTGGAGAATGTTATTAGGACCACCAACTACTTGCCTGTTGTTGTAACCATACACCAGATTCTCCAATTCTCGACTTGTGGAAAATCAAATTGATAAATAACATCAATAAAGTGGAATTCACACCGGCGTATAGCAAATCCCCGATGATAAAACCATTTCAAAGCGCTTTCTATTGTTTGCTTCCTTGTTGCCTAGTTTCCGCTGATCAAATCCCCGCTGCGTTTTTGAATTGTGGCTGTCGACTTAAACAATGGAAATGCCGAACACCATTGTGGCACTGCAAGAGCTAATTTACATAGCTGAACATGGCACCAACATATGATGATATCTCACCACGTTTTCATAAAATGTCCTGGAGAATTTTGACCAGATGTTTCACTAAATCGGTGCCTAATTTCCACATCAAACCAAACATGATGCGGAACCGATGTATGCTAACTACCGCAAGGGAAGACATTAGTTATCATATTTAATCTGATAATGATTACTCCTTACCTAAACTGTATTAATCTGATTATTGAAAATCAGTTCATGGATTTGCATAAAATCGAGCATACTATAGGTTAGGACACATTCTCAATTGGGACTCCCAATATGCCCATTGACCAATCACAGCCACTTCCAATAATTGGCTTTTTGTACACCTCTAAGACGCCAAAAACCCACCAGCATTTGCATAAAGCTGCGTATTAAGAAGCAAGGGGCATGAACTGAAAGCATAATTTTGCGAAGCCAGAAAATGCCGCGGATAGAGAGCACACCACTTAGCAAACAATCCAGGGAGTTGACAACCGTGCCTTAGAAACGTGCGAGGCAGGCGGCGCCATAGGCCTTTTAAGAGGGGTATTTGATCTGTGATTAGAGGCCTTTTTTGAAATGACTCACCTGCACCTCTCTTTTTTTAAAAAAAAACAAGCTTGCAATTCTTCCCAAATTCCTTCGTTAAATGGTCGATTCGTTTTTTGTCACAACTATTTAGCAAGTGCAGAGAGGCCTTTTTTGAATACTTGCATGGAATTTTCCGGGTATAGCAGTTGTTTAACATTTGTTTTTTTAATGAATTTTGTATAATTTACGGAAAACTCCGTCCGTGTCACTAGCCCCTTCGGTCTGCCGTTCAGGCTTCCGTTGATCTCTTGACAAATAAGTCATTAGCAGACACTCTGTGCTGACACCTGCCAACGGGGTTTTTCAGCAGTCTCTATGACAACGTACAGCTGAAGTAGTAAACTAGTTAGGTTTTCGGTCGCATAGTAGGTAGACAAGATTGAAAATAAGCTTGTCTGATTGACACTGGATTTATGCGACTGCATCAAACAGGTGTGCTTGACGTAGCCTTCCACCGAATGTGAGATTCGGTAGTGTGTGAGTTCAGCGGTCAGTTTTATGTAAACAGCGTGAACTTAGATAGCGGTTTTGAAATTAATGAAAGCTCTAAGTGCTCAAGGAACTGTGAATCTTGTCTAAACTTTTGGATAATTCCAATCAAGAAGCAGAAAATTAATCAGCTTCTTTTGATGTCACAAAAAGGTGAAATGTTACGCACTACAATTCCATGGATATGCGACGTTCCACGGCACACCAGCAGCCGGTTGCGGCTGAATTTTTGTGCTAAATCCAGACACTTTGGCGATCGATGAGCAAATGACTCATGAACGCTTTTCATTGGCCAAGAGTCAAGTACTCATAAATTCGATTATTGATTCTGACTTCCTAGTTGTGAGGTGCAAATTCCCGTCTAGTGAATAAATAAATAGCTGTGCTAAAGTTGCATTGAAGTCAAGAATAAAAAAGATTTTGCAGTTTCTACCGTAAGTAATGGAATCGTTGTGGCTAGAGCACACTGTTCAAAGAGTGACTATGCCGGACGTTTAAAATTGCAATTATGCGTCCAAAATGGATGCCGAAATCGATGCTACAGAAGGACGGAATTTGACCTAACCGAGAGGGGCAGTAAACAAGCTTGCACTTTTTATGGTTTTCTGGGTCATCGCTAAATTATCGTCCAACTGAATTAAGTGAGCTGCATGAGTTCAAATCGGTCGCACAACAATAACTGCGTCGTGAAAAGTTACATTAGCGCTCATGACCTCATTACGAAGACACGCTAGGGAAGTCCATGGGGACTAGTTCAGACACATTTAGCTTGAAATATGCCGGGTAAATTTGTCCCGATGAAATCTTTTCCGGGAAAAGCCAGTGAGTGAAAGATTTGTAAAAACAAACGTTTCAAACGAAGGTTACAGGGTTGAACTAGAAAATGTCGCACTATTGCGAAAGCAAACTTTACAAACACAAGGTGTGTGTTTAAGTTGATCGATTCGATTACATTTGGCACACCCAGGTCCTTGTTTATAATAAAATGGTGTCGGTTTTTGGGTCACGGCGTTGCGTCACACAAATTCAGGCTTCGTGTACTCCGATTCAAGAGCATGAACATAAACTGATGGAATACTACAGAGGCGTTAAAAAATAAAAACAAGTTTTGAAAGCAAGCTATTGAACTTCTTATCTAAAGTCCTTGAATGCATTTCGGCTCTACAAGAGCGACTCAGTACGCAGAATTTATTACCCTACCTTCTTTTGTTACTCTGTAATTTTGCGAAATGTTTTACAGAATGAGTTAAGGCAAAAAAAACAGTGCTAGAACAGGGGTTTGCCTGAAACTAGCCTTATTTATTTAAACAAAACCTTCTGAGTAAATATTTATGCCGTAGTTAGCATGAATGAGTCAAGATTGACAGTACGAAATGGAAATTGTTTAAATAAAAAAATACAAAGATATTTATTACCTACGACGACAAAATTTGATACACCTTAAGTGTCCGACGCGATACGGTATTCGGCGACTGCTGTAGCGTTTGTAAACTGATTGCCTGTCCTACCTTACTAAACAGGAGAGGAAATGGGCAAAAATGATGTACCCTAGAGAGAATTTGGCAAATTGACGCTGTCATACGTTTTAATAGACTGAACCAGTACAGAGTACTTGAATCCTGATTGAAGTCTTTAGTAAACTAACGACCGTCTCAAAAATTACATCTATTTGTTGATGTAGGTCTTTTGCGCTGACAGCAGGCCCATTAAGATGATATTTGACATTCAAAATTGAATTTGTATGAAAAACCGGAATTAGCTAGTCATGTTTACAATCAATTTTAATTTAGCTGTGGCAGTTGCCAGGTCCAAACTTTGACCCCTCGAAGGGGTAACCGTGCCTACCCTGTCTCAAACACTGACCATTCATGTAAAACATTATCTTGGTGATAACGCAGACGTCACCTCAAAACAAACTTACATGGGAAACCACTTTTGTTTGGTCTTTAAAATTAAACCCTACGCTTTGTAAAACCTTCCTTTTGCTGTCTAAATTATACCTCCAAATTTATCGATTTTGCTTCCTAATCTAAAATCAACCGATTGCCAAGTCTAGACTAATTCAAGTGTAAAACAAAAGTGGAAAATGTTTATATTTGAGATTGTGCAGAGTACAACTATAGCATCACGGTTTTGCCTCAAGGTAACACAGGCTGTTCTAGTTCCCAATAGTTATTGGGCCTCCCCAAGATGGCTCACCGTCGGTTTTGCCATTATTTGCATTAATTCCCTAACATCTATGTTAATCCGCTGGCGTCCATCAGGTCACTGTCAACCTTGACTTGAATTAGCATTCACTTTAGGACAGGTCACTCGCCCTTTGTCTGGGACGATTAAAGCTCTCGACACAAGCTCCGGTCTTGTGAGAGGGTCGGTTCTAGCGTCAGACAAGGGATCTGACTAGGTAAATGTTTTCCTTGATCTTATCAAGGTTGTGTACATTTTGCGTAAGTTTCACACAATTATGAAGGTGAAAAAGGTGCGAAACAAATGTCCAAAGTTCACTTATTTCGTATTTAAACAAGTTTTATGCAATTACGGCTGCACACTGTGTGTATTTTGGTTTGGTCGGCAACAAAATAACATCCTTTTTTCCCATTTAAAGAGTCTATAGAATTGGGGACTGTGTCTCTTTTTGCCAACCTTTGTTGAAAGTCACCCTTTAGGTGCACCTTCCAACTGGTAGTTCGTGGATTTCAGATCCGTAGCACAGCGAACCCTATGTAGGTCATCACTTGCATCTACGCGCCGACAAACTTGTTGTGCTGACCTAATTTTGCGAAATCCTAGATCAGATCCACAAACATCACATAGAGGTAAAAGGGTATGTCTGTATTGCGATTATTTAAAAAAAAAACGTTTACGGTATAACATATCACCTAGAACGTAAAATAATTACCTGGATGTCTGGTGATAAAGGGATATTATCTTTCGGTTTAATGAGTATACCGACATACGTTAGTTTTAGTCATTGTGTATTTTAAACAAGATCAACGCTAGAGCCATGGTATCTTCATGCTCATTGAAATGTTAATCCCAACAAGTATGCTTACTTCACACCAAATTTACCTACTTTGGTGTCAAAAATTCAAGTTAACTTAACAATTGGGAGTAAATAACCAACTGGCATTTATCTCGGTAAGTGAAAAAATTTCGACAAACTTCAAAACGCTTATTTGCATTAAGATGACTCCTTTTGTGGTGACGGAAAATTACTCGTGGCATATACTACCGCCGAAAATCGTCGCCATGACCACCTGCACGCAAACCTCCACTCACAGTACTCACTTCCTGTGCGGACTAATTTGACTCTCTCTTTTCCGGAATGGATTAATGGTGGACGCATTTCGCAAATGTTCTACCTTCCCACAATTGATATTTACTTACGAATTGTCCATATTTTGAGAATTTTATCAGTGTTCTAAACACGGTTTTGTTAGTAACGAAAAAGGTATTAAAATGCAACATCGTTTATGAAAAAAATGTCATAGTAAAGTGACACATTTCTAAGCTATGTTAGCTGGTACACATGGCAACAAAGAAAAACGCGCCAAAGTTTTTTATTTACATTTAATTTAATTCACAAAGCAAATGGGCATCAACTAAATATACCTAGTGATTTAATCTTGATTTTATCTAAAGCTAGGCTACTAGTCGCACGGCAATTTGGTTTTTTATAACGTATGTATTGAAAAAATGACCTTATCCGCAACACTTTTTCTGGTATTAACAACCACAACTAAGGGTCGTTATCCACCAGGAATTGAAATTTAAGTCAACAACTGTCTGATTGACTCTGATAAATAAGGAGATGATTTTTTAGAAGTAAGTGCTACCGATTTCAGTGAAAAAAAGGAGGAAATGTGCGCAAATATCAGGCACTTTAGGAGCCTTACTTTGGTAAAAAGAGGGAAAGTAATCAACAATAATCAGCCTCTTAAACGACGTTTTCAATGCAGAAGAGATATAACGCAAGGAGTGCATTAAAGTTACGACAGGGATGTCTCTGTTGACGATTTCGCTAAGACATTTTGTGCAAATTTTTGTGATTTTTTTGCATTATTTTTAAACTAATAGCAAAGTGCGTAAGTGTGAACTAACTCTTTTGTCGTGGACGAAGATAGGTCATGCACGGAAACCTGGATCCCAAAAGACTGCGCGTAACCAGCAAGTTCTTCATCGAGTGTCATGAAGACGCCTTCCAAATGAAGCATTACTGGTTTTATGTTGCATATCTTGATAATTCTGTCTAGATGATTCCTGTTGAAATTCGACAAGCCAATTGATCGAACAAGACCCGCATCTACCAATCGCTCCATTTCCTAAAACGATAAAAAAATTAAACTCAGCAAGAATGCTAGGAACAGCGCAGTGGCCTTTGTGTACTTTTTAACAAACTAGAACACACTTTAAAATTGCTGAAAAACTTGATCACTTCAAGTTAAAACCCTGCTTATATTGCATATGAAGTATTAGTCAAATATATGAATTTGACGAGAATGTCTGTTCGTGCAACGTACATTGGTACTAATATGAAATTATTTTCACTCAAAAAAGAGGAACGTGATATCGTTTCTGGAAATACATTCTTATACTGAATTTTCCATTCATTTTTAATTATGTTTTTAATGTTAATTGCTACTAAAATACTGAAGCACAAGCGCCACATTTTTAAGCACACATGAATTCATCAGCAATTAAAGCCCTTAAATGGTGGAAAATTCCATGTTGTGATTAACAGCAATTGTGATTTAGAAGCAAACAAGAATTTATAGGAGAAAGGCCGCATAAAACCCCTTGAACAACGTTAAATCTATCTTTAAGATGCTTGACTTACCCGCCAATTACCGTCTATTATATCCAGTAACTTCTCAGTTTGGGTGTAATCCTAAGACAATATTCGATAAATATGAATTGTTGGACACCTCAGGGGCTGAAGAACTGTGTAATAAATACAGATCTAAATATGATACTCCAATGTCCGCTAAGGTTTTTTCACAAATTCGTCTCAAAGACTGGAAGTCTTTTTCGATAGGGACCTAGTTCTATAATGTAATAAATTAAAATTATACTTGCTTTAGATGAAATGTAGAAGTTCGTCCGATTTAGTGTACCTAAACTAAGTTTCATTTGTAGAGCAACTCCAATGTCCTTTACATTGTCGTTTGTGGAAACGCAATCAATATGTCGATAGCCAGAGTCTATAGCGCAAAGCATTAGCTTTTCAATATTATGGGCTTCAAGCTTGAAATTTTTTTACGAAACAAAAACACGCACCTTTGAAGTATTAAACCCAATACAAGGGACTTTAAATCCATTGTTTAGAGGAACAAATTTGTGCGTTATAGGCATTCACAAAAACCGTCCTATCAGTGTTTCTTGCTAATTCAAGACTGCATTCAAGGTGGCAAGACGCCAATGTTTAGTCAAACAAACGTACAATAGTTCAAAAGGACTGTCGTTGTTTTTTGAATAACAGCGAGTCTGTTAGAGCATAAAAAGCTGTTATATAAGTACGGATTCTTTTATCACTCTAAATATTCATAAGTTTAAATAGGATGTAGATTTTCTCATTAATTGGGTAAAAATTGCCGGTACTAAGCGTAAAGAAATACACTAAATTTGGACACAAAATATTAAAATGTAGACTAGAAAACTTACTACACTAAAAAACCTAAATCTGATCCCAAACTCCTTTACATATCTCGAACAATAGAGATAAAGTTAGTTCGTAAAATGTAAACAAATTCAGTGTGCATCATAAATTTTAAATTAACAAACTTCATAGCCTAAAAATCTCGCACACCTGCATGAAATTTTTGCAAGATGGGAGAAGTTTACGTTACCTATTTCTTTTTATTTATTTCATATATAAAACTTGACAAAATTTAGATTTGCTAAATTTGGTCTTGCGAGTCGGTTTACCTGAATTTCCAAAGTGTTACTGAATAAAATGCATTACAGCAGAAATTAATTCGGGCCAATGTGGTAAAAGCAGCGTCCAACTAATATGTAAGATAGCATTTTTTAAACCTGGAATTCAAAAAAGGAAAAAAAATTCGCAGAAATACATGATAAATTCCATGTTCCTTTTCATGACAAGATCAAACAGAAGTTAATCAACTTTGCTTTATCCAATGATTTGGTTTTCTTATTAAATTAAATTTATCCTAATGCAATCAGAAGTCTTTAAAAACTTTTTGGTGACTGAATTACTTCTGGCATGCAAACGAGTAAGGAAAAGTTTTTTCAACATAATTTAAAATCGAACTACAAATTTTACTAGCTCTGGTCTTGCATATCTCACATCTTGGGTGCATAGATCCTCAATGTTTGAATCAGCGTAGCATTTACCAAATGTGATATATCTGAAATTAAATAATTTAAAATAATGTGTGAACAAGAACCCATGTCGAACGACGATTCTAGATAAGTAGTGAAATTATTAGGCTCATGAGTGTCAAGCACTTAGCAAATTACATTGTCCTCTTCGTCTTGGATTTAAAACAAATCGACATATGGAAGTCTTGGTTTCTAGCCCGGGACGCAGTCTGTTATTTAAAGTATCGGATCCTAATTTAAAACAAACTATACGAGTAAACGATATTTGAGCACTTTGAATAAAATATCATCCATCATTTCAATAAAGCTTGAGTCATCTTCCATTTCAACGGTTTTAGATGTCAAATCATTGTATTTTCCACTGAAATTTGACGTGTTATCACTTAAAGATACTTGAAATTATGTAAGGATGTAGTAGAAAATGGGTCCTTCAGAATCTTTGCTACATAATTTAGGTCCACACAAGACAGCGTTCGTCACCAAAATGATTGGTTAAAATTTTTGGAGTTGGATCGGTGCAATTCTTTCAATTTTTTTACCATTACATTTACTAAATTCCAGTTTACAAATACACTATGCAGCAGAAGCTGAATCAGAATAGTGCCATATGTGTGCACTTTTTGAATTACCTATTTTCAAAACGTTGGTTGCTCATTTCCTTTTAAATCCATATCGAAACCCGTCATCGCGCAGCAATGATAAAAGCAGCCGAGTGGTAATTAACAGATATAGAACAACTAAATTTGATTGGATTAAAAAGAATTGGTCCTAGTAATTTGTAAAGAAATACTTTTGTGGTACATGTGATCTAAATCCACTATACTATTTAGGAATATCAAAAAATTAACTTAAGAAATACGCCACAACACGAGCAACATAATGCTTCGCTTTGTAACAAATAAAGTTTATTTATAAAATAGCCAACTTTGAGCTGCATAACCTTTTCTAGGTTCAACATAAATAAATCTTCGCTGTCCTTTTTAATACAAAGCCTGATAGAAATGTAATTAGATCTACTGCTTGGGGTTGATTTAGGCTATGATACTGCTAATGTTTCTTTAAATCGTATATATTTATTAATTCGTGCTTTAGATGTCCTTATTTTCGGCAATCTAGCATGTTTTATTAATTTTAATATTAATCAGAAGCAAATGGCGTCGTAACCGAAGGCCATTTTGGGTGCGCGTTGGTTTAAATAACCAAAATGGGCTCGATGTTTAGGGGGGAACAAATGCAGTTGTCTCAGTTGTTTTTGCAAATTGATTCAGCTTATATGTGTATTGCTGAACTTGGTGAATTAGGTGTTGTGCAATTTCGTGATGTAAAAATTTGAATTTAAATGGTTATTCTTTAGATTACATCCGAAACGAATGCTTTTCAGCGGAAATTTGTGAATGAAGTTCGTCGTTGCGACGAAATGGAAAGAAAATTAAGTATGTGTAATACATCTTTATATAACAGAGTAATGAGGGTTCCTGGGAAATGAGATACGACTAAATAATCTCCAATTGTATGAGAGTGCTGAAATTCCCGAAGCCCCACCTCCAAGAGAAATGATTGACATGGAAACTACTTTTGAAAAACTTGAAAATGAAGTAAAGGAAGTTAATGCAAGCCTTGGTGATTTGCGTCAAACATATTTCGAACTTCAAGAAATGAAGCACCTTCTCCGAAAAACCCAGATATTTTTCGATGAGGCAAGTGATGGAATTGCTTAGTACTGAAATGAAAAGGCGGGACAGTTTGCCTTATGTACTTGATTAGCTTAATTGTCACTGTTCTAAATGAAAACTCGAATGAAACCCCGTATAATTTTACAATCATTGAGGAGTGGAAATGTTCGCTTCATGCTTCGCACCATTTTTGTTGTTGGAAATTTTGATGGATTTTTTATCATTCATACTTGCTTCAGGTTGCTAGGTGCATTTGTCTTAACCTCTACATCGAAATTAATTTTCATTTGATTTACAATTACTCTGCCAGGCTTATCAGACGGCGTCGTTTAGCACTGATGAAAGCTTAGGGCTCCTTGGGGAAGAAAGTGGTCAAGCTGCTGTCAGTGGCGTTGAAATGCACCTGGGGTTAGCATACATATGCATGGAGTGTGTGATTGCTTTTTGTTGTCTAGTGTCGTCTCACGTTGTTGTTTCTTTTAATGCTCAATCTAGGTGTCACGTCGAAGTAGTCGTTTTATTCAGCTTACCGTGGTATCCATCCCTTTTTATTAAAGCGCCTAACGACTTTATTACTGATTTCAGTTCTATCGCAGGCGTTATTCTGCGTGAAAAACTGCCCCCGTTTGAACGAATGCTTTGGCGCGCATGCAGTGGCAATGTCTTTTTAAAGCAGGCTGAAATTGAGTTACCTCTAGAGGACCCGCTTACAGTAAGCCTAGACATCCATTTTACCCGTTAATTCCAAATTACCCAAAACTGTAGGTTACCAACTATTACTGCAAGCATGACTGTTGGCGAAAGCCCCAAAGACGGGTCCTGTTCATCGCAATTTTCTAATATTTGACACAATTATGCACCTCATCATGAGTTCTTGTTCAGGTTTTTTTTTATCTGGGTTGCCCCATACCTAGGTTTTTTTTTAGAAAAAACAACTTTCATCTGATTAGCCAACTGTTTGTTGTATATTTTGGCGTAGGATTTAAGTGGCCTGTTAAGGAGATTCGATCCCCGTAATGAAAAGTAAAAGAATTTCGTTTTGTTTTCTGAGGTGTGAAAATATTTGGCCGCTCTTCAAACTCGTGGTGCTGAAATCTGACTTTGCTTCATTAGTCTATTATAAACTAGACTATCTACCCACGGTACATATGACAAGCCTTTCAGAAACGTTTTTCAACAAAAGCCTTGTGATTCAGTATATTCGCCAGTACCGAAATTGTTCTGGAAATTTTGTTCTTTTATAGGGTGAAAAAGTCTACAAAATCGTCTTCATAATCTTCTTTCAAGGCGATCAACTCAAGTCTCGTGCCAGCAAAATCTGCGAGGGGTATATTTTACTGCATTTCTTGTTCTCATTTGCTGTCTCTCTAACGCAAATCATTACAGACAGGGTTGCCGTCCTGCCATACGTTTTAGACTTTGTGTCAGCTATAAGTGGTGTGGTTGTCAATTTACTTTGCCGTGAACGCAAGGACAATGCCCATGGCTAATCGCATTTTCGTAGTCCCTCTGCGATGCATCCCTTGTAAGGGGAGTGAATCCCGTGGTTTTGTTTTTAGCGGGTTTCTGTGCGTACTTGCGACTCCGTGGTTGTCACGTGGTCTTTCCGATTTAGGTTCCACGCCACTGTCTACCCTTGCCCCGAGTCTGCAGCCGATCGTCGTACCATGCTGATTGATGTCATCCAAAAAATCGAGGACCTCGAAACCGTGCTCACACAAACCCAGCAGCACCGCCAGAGAATCCTCGAAGCCGCCGCCAGAAACCTCAACAGCTGGTTCATCCGTGTCCGGAAAATGAAGGCCATCTACCACACCCTCAACTTTTTCGACCTGGATGTCACCACCAAGTGCATGATCGGGGAGTGTTGGTGCGCGCTAAGCGACCTCGACCAGGTCAACCTCGCACTCTGCCGCGGCATGCAGAGGTCTGGCAGCACCATCCAGCCCATTCTCAATGCCATGCCCACGAGGGATCAGCCGCCAACATTCCACCGAACTAACAAATTTACAGTGGCGTTTCAGAAGATTGTTGACGCTTACGGCGTGGCGAAGTACCGCGAAGTGAATCCCGCCCTCTTCACGATAATCACCTTCCCCTTTCTGTTTGCGGTCATGTTTGGTGACGCGGGACACGGACTCATCATGTTCCTCTTTGCTCTCTGGATGGTTTTGTGGGAGGAGCGGCTAATAGTGAGTTCAAAACTTGTGTTTTGAGGCTTCTCTGCCTCAACACATCACCTAATTTGGCATAAGGTTTGCAAACGCAATCACGATTTCTCTGTTGCCACTTCTCCGATGTGTCGATACTTTCCAAAGTTGGCACCGATGATGGTAAACAATCCCAGAAACTGTATTCTCGTTGTTCTTGCCCCGGAAGATGTGATTTCCATGAACTGGGACCTTCGAATAAGTTGTTTTTCTATAACGTTCGACTAGTGGTGCTAACAGAATTCTAAATGGCCCTAAACCAAGCGCTGATACACTGATTGTTGGGATCTTTGGTGGATGCATAACAGCTACCTGGAAGTCGTCACAGCCGACGATTGTTTCTGCTTGCATCACGCCGCTGTGAACTTAGATCTGGACGACACTAACTTCACTTTTCAGAGTATGAAAATCAAGGACGAACTGTGGGACACGTTTTTCGGCGGTCGATATGTCATCCTACTGATGGGGGCCTTCTCGATCTACACTGGGATAATCTACAACGACGTGTTCTCCAAGTCAGTGAACCTCTTCGGCTCGTCGTGGTATCCGGACTACGACAAACGCGCTCTCGTGGCCAAAGACCTGCTCCAGCTGGAGCCGCGGACATCTGAGAACATCACTGAGCCGATGTTCGCCGGCCAGCCCTACCCGTTCGGTGTGGATCCCGTCTGGCAGATCTCCAGCAACAAGATACCCTTCACGAATTCCCTCAAGATGAAAACCTCCATCATTTTGGCAGTCTTCCACATGGTCTTTGGTGTGTCTCTCAGCTTCTGCAACGACAAGTGCGTTCTCGTTTTCCTGTCGGTCATCTGCAATGCTTTTGACAGGTCTTGTCACTTTCAACCATCGCAGATGTAGTTGCTAGATGAGATTGGTAGTGTAAAAATGACCAATGAGGCTGCATTAACAGCAGCCAATGAACGACAAGCAGCCTCACGACCGCTTTCACTTTAGATTCTTCAATAACTCCCTGTCCATTTGGTGCGAGGCACTTCCCCAGCTACTTTTCCTTACTTCCATCTTCGGATACCTCGTCGTGGTCATCTTCTACAAGTGGGCCGCCTACACAGCCGACGAGGCATCTACAGCTCCCAGTCTCTTGTTGAGTAGGTGCAAAATGTGTATGGTTACAATGCCTTCTTTCACCTCTAGTGCTCATCAACATGTTCCGGTTCAGTTACGATGTAAGAGGCGGATCTGGGGACTCGTTCTACAGTGGACAGGTAAGAATTGCGTTATCCAGATTTGCTTCCCCATATTCTAGGCCGTGGTCCAGTCGCTTCTGATGTTCCTCGCTCTTGCTTGTGTGCCGTGGATGCTCCTGACAAAACCACTCATTCTACGCTGGCGTTTCAAGCAACAAGTGAGTCCATTCAGTCTGTCTCGCTCAATTGGGTTTTGCGATTCATCGTGGTAGAAATCGACCTGGTTTTTGGTTAGCAGGGATCGGCACAGGGCGAACAAGGTGTTCCACCACGGCCACCACCGCCGAAGACAACCGACATTGACGGTACCAGCGAATTGACCGACACAAAGCCCGTCAACAACATTGCCACATCGGCTGCTGATGATGGCGACTACGGCAGCGACACTGAGAACGTACGGCCCTATTCCTTGATTTCCCAAAATACTTCCCTTTAGCGCTCTTACCAGTTACGTTTTGTAATAGTAGGCCATGATACCAAAAGCGGAATGTAGGCTAAAGTGACGTCTAACTTTCATTGGTCTGAGATGTGGTGATGGCCGATTATTTGCCATTTTACGTTTTGTTGGCAGGCATTTTTTAATATTGTTCGCTTTAGGCATGGAGTTTACCTAAAAAGTGTTAGGAGTTGCTTGTCTGCACCTTTTTCATGTGTTACGTCTAGTATTGACCATTATAGCCTTGATTTGACCGTTGTTTTAATTCTCATTATGTCTTGGCGCCACTTACTATTTGCCCAATGGCGGAGTGTTAGGTAACGGATACGCATTATCCTATTCATGAAAGATTACGATAATAAAACAGAGTGCACAATAAATTTTGAACTGCAAACACATGCAAAAAATAGGTCCATTCTTGTTTTCGACTTCAAATGACGTTCCAACTAAACCAGTGCAGTAAAACAATGGGTTATGCAGAAATAACATGCGTCACCTGCTTTTCCAATTTTGATTTTTTTGACTGAAATCTGACAGAATCACCACCTCTTTTGTATTGCAGTTTGATTTCGGTGAATGCTTGGTGTATTCGGCAATTCACACAATCGAGTATTGCCTAGGCTGCATTTCCAACACGGCGTCGTACCTCCGGCTCTGGGCCTTAAGCCTCGCTCATGCGCGTAAGTTTTTCCCTGTCCCGTTCGCCTACTTATTTAGTCTCATAAGTAGGCACTCATCGATTTCAATTTGAGCAGCTGATCTAAAGTAGTGATTTTGCTTCAGAACTTTCCGAGGTCCTGTGGAACATGGTTCTACAAAACGGTCTGAAAATCGACGCCTACTATGGCAGCGTTCTTCTTTTCCTCGTGTTCGCTGCATGGGCAGGACTAACAGTCGGTGTTCTTGTTTTAATGGAGGGTTTGTCTGCTTTTCTGCACGCGATTCGATTGCACTGGTGAGACACCCTTTTCTTCAAATCGCGACTCTTTTATTCGAAACTATCTCCCGGTTTTGCGTTTTAGGGTGGAGTTCCAAAACAAATTCTATTCTGGCACTGGATATCCCTTTGATCCACTGTCTTTTAAAACCTACATCTCACTTCCTATTAATGAAGCCTAAATTAGCCCAATGATCCGCTTTAGTGATTCAACGTTGTGTCTTACCCCTGATCCCCAAACGTGGTGTTGTCTTTATAGTTTTTCAGGTGTGGTTTTCTAAAATAGATCTGTTGTGTGTTCATTCATGAGTTTTACATTCTGAAGTAAAAGGAAGCGTTATCGGAAGAAACCTACATGCTTTGCACAAGCAGAAAAAAAAATTGCGTGAAATACGGAAGTCTCAGTCATCTTTTAGCCTGATTGTGATCAAGCAACATGAATAAGGTATCGGGAGGAAGTGATAAGAAACCGAGATCCCACTGCTAAACGCCTCGAAAGATTTTTGTAAATTTCAAATTAACAAATAAGTGCCGGGATGCTGAGTAAGTCATCATTGGAGTGAAAAACGCTTTTCTCGCGTTTCAGGAAACGTAAAAGGTATGTGGATGGACTTAAGTGGTGACAAAAAAGTTTGCCCCAAGTAAATTTTCCTGCGATAAATTTCACTAAATTGCTCAGGGCATGATTAAAACTTAGGCATGTAAACCATGACGTCATTTAATATCAATCAATTCAAACAAAAGCATGCGCGCTGGACGCATTGCCTTCTGGCGGTTTGTTTTAAATAAGTTTGAGTGTTTTACGTTATTTAATTAATTATCTAACTTATAGTGAAATTTTAATGTTACAAGAGTATATTGGGACCAGAAAACATAAATATTGCAAAAGTGATATTAATGGGGAAGTTATTAATTCTGCTTCATATTACCACATAAATGGATGCATTGATGACATTTATGTTAAATCGAAGATATTTATATTAGTGATTGGGTGAATCGTAATGTTCACAAAATATTCTTTTCTTTATTTAACATCAAGCTACCGACAAACGATAAAATTGTCAATTTCTCGAGAACAATGTCGGCAGAATTTTAAGTACTGGAAATTTTATTGTTACCAATTTTGTCAAGCTCTTATGTCCATCACGAAGCATGCAAAAACTGTCAACCTGAATCGAGACCGTCCATTTTTTCCGCAAAAAATATTAGCTCTCCTGTATAAAGTGGCCCACCACTTAAGGGTTATTCTAGTAACCATGCATTTGTGCACTTAGAAATCAAACGACATGTAAATAAGTTAATTCGTTCTCTTGTTTACTGACACTTTTAATTTTTATGTTAATGGTATTACAAGTGAGTCTTATTTTCCAAGAGAACGAACTGATTCTTTTCACGATAAGTTTCACTCCTTGTTCTTAATTTATTTTATATTATATTCAGTTGCTTCTCGATTTCTTGAGGAGTGCCCTGAAGAATAAGTCTCGAAAATTTGATTTGAAATAAAGGTTCTATTAAATTTGGTCTTTTTTTGCTATAAAATTAACAAGATTACGTCTTATATCAATGCATTTGCCATTCACATCCGCACTTTCTTTATTGTGCCATATTAATTTATTTTTTAATCACCCCCACAAACATATTGCAGAACATTTTGGCAGAAAAATGCACTGGAAATAGTATTTCACTTAAGATGCCCTTGGCGACAGTTTCTCGATGGGACATTATCTGTGGTGTTAAATAACCGCGCTAAATAAATAATTCGTGAAGTTATACGGAGTCGGTTTTCTATTGCTCGCAGAATGAGGTCAGCACTCTCTGTGTTGACTTTATTCTACAGAAGTGTTAGTACATCCTCAGTCTTGTGTCGACAAAAAACATGTTACCAACAAAGCTATGAGTGGCTTCTTGCTGTACATAGAAGTCGTCGACGAGCCAGATATCCGTGGATTCCTAGGTTTGCCTGTAATGTTACTCATTAATATTCTGCATAGGGAACCTGCCACATCTTGTGTTGTCAATGGGTTAGTCAAAGAAATCCCAGAAATGCGAGTAGAATTCGTTGTGCCAGAAAACTTGGAGTCCTGCGACTTGAAGCCATATGTTGCTTGGCAAGCCGATGTAATCCACGAGCCCCCGCTTACCTCAGAAGGTTTGTTTGAACAACGCTACGGTGATCAAATCCGGCGACTCCACGAAGAGGGAAAAAGCAGAGAAATGATTCTCTCGGAGCTGTAGAACGCTGCTCAAAAGGCTAGTTGTGCTTGGTCCCCTGCTCCTAGACTCAACTTCTTTTATTTACTCCCACTTTTCTAATTCTTTCCAAAGTTAGTGTCAAATTCTTCATTGAGTGTTTCCTATGCTGTACATTACTTTACACACTGGACATTTGGCACGCCTCGACGATACTCTGCTTGCAAATCCCCGTGTCGAATTGTCGGCCTATTCACCCCTTGTATGCAATGTCAATGATCATAGCAGATTTAGGACTTTTTCATTGATAAGACAAATATAAAATTACAAGTTGAAGTAATCTTTAAGGAAGTCTGTAGCAGTTATCACCGGGACGCGTCCAAGTAGCGCCTGACCTCAGTTTGGAGCCTCGATTTATAGTCGGCTCTTAGTTGTATAAAATTTCCAAGGAGTTCTTTCGGAATTCCGGATTGTTCGTAGTCTTGCCAAACCTGACGCACATTTTGTGGCTTTATCAACATCAGATTCATTAATTTTAATAGGATATCAAATAGGTAGTCGATCTTCGGGCCGTTGAATTCACGTGCAGCGTCGCGGTAAGCTGTAACATCTTGCATTGCCACGAATCCACCTATAACAAACAACAGTTATTTGTTAGTAAAGACAATTAAGCAAATATACCAATTGGCGTCTTGCTTGCCTGAGTCCGAGAAGGTGAATCCGTAAAAGTGGTCGATTAGAAGACGATGAAAACGCAGTCCTAATTCGTTCATCAGACTTACTAGATTCTGACCATCTAGGTTCTGCTTTGCGTCTGTTATTACCTTGCGGATAAACTTGCAAACGTCTTCGCACGCCTACAAAGAATGCGCTAAATCTGTTGCAAGAAACAAACAGTGGCAAAATTGACAATCGCAGTAATAGCTGATAAGCAATACTTAGGAAGTGTGTCGACGGCTAAGCGTTTTGTCAAAAAAACGCTTGACAAGTATCAAGTATGGCTAATGTCCAGATCAGAACGTAGCATACTTGTGGTGGCGGTGCCGTAGTGTGGTGTCTTGGGAACAGGTCACAACGTTAGAGAAGTAACGAGTTCAAAGTTCCGACTTACGCAAAACTAACAGTTCTAAAGTCCCTTAGGGTTGCGTTGCGAAATCAATAGCAATTAGCATTCCATGTGTGTACATTAATGGTGGGGTCGCACGGGAGAACAAATGCAAATCGCTACCATTCAGCAAATTTACTTTTGCATGCGTCAACGGTAACAGCAAATCGAATGTCCATGATGGTGTATTTATTGATTAACAGGCTTGGGACAACCAAATGGCCAACAGGTTGTCACAGAAGGAACAAGAGGCGAATGTGCCTTGGTACAGTCGAGCTAGAACGTACCGCCGAGCAAGCGGGGAGGCCGGTCATGAGATTTCGCGAATTCACCAGGTCAACGTCCCCCTTGTAATCGGACTTCTTTTGCTCACTTGCCAGAATGGCCTGTACGCGGCTTAGTGCAAGATCAATGCACCGCTCCAGACCAGACGAGAACTTGACCTCAAGGTTGCGTCGTACCTCCTGCCGCCTAGCAGCGCAAGTCTGCAGGTGCGCTGCACTGCCACTACAACAACGAAACGATGATTCGACTACGGGGATCGAAAGTGCTAATTTGACCAATCAGCTTGAGAGGGATACTCACGCTAGAAGGGGCCCGATGAACTCGTTGACGGCTTTGTCAAAGAAATTGAACAATGTTGTTCCTTCATTCACGGCGGAGAAGAACGTAAACGACGGTTCCGAGGACTTCGGGTCTGTAGTGTTCAAGGCTGAAAAGGAAACGAGATGAGTTGTCCAAAAATATGGACGTCTGAGGTAATTCTTACATCCCTAGAGGGGGCACACGTACTTTGCAAGGCCAGAGTTATTCCATAGTCGATGTGTTCATTGACAAGATACCGCAGAAGCATGTCAAACAACTTCAACCCAAATTGCGGTCGATCTGACGCCTTTGAAAGCTAAAGCAATTTAAAATAGTTTGAGGCGCGTTGGGTCACACGACGCTTCCCAATAATGAAATTGCATTTCAACTCGTCTTGGGTAAAAGAAATTAAAACTGCGCGATTTCTTCACATGAACTGGAAAAATGTGATGTTTCGAGTACAAAACAGTACCTTCGGAGGTGTTTTTTTTTCCAAAAAAATAGACACAAGGAAACGTACAAGCATACAACGTTTTGCTGACTGTCGGATGTCATCGAGAATGTTAATTGCAACCTCCTGGGAGATAAGGATTTTTTCTGCGACAACTTCCCGGTCGACGTTAATGTGGAGACGTGATTGGACAGCACTCTTGAGCTCATAAAACCTGCAAGAAGACAGGAGTGCTCAAACAGTGCAGATAAAAGCGTGTGAGACTTCGTGATGACTAAAACCGGAGGTGGCGTTGGAGAGGTTAACAAGAGGGAAAAACAGACAAGAGGTTCTAAATCGGGGATGCTACACCTACAAACGAAAAAAATGGGGGGGAGGGGGCCTAATTCGAAATAAAAGTGAAGATATGAGGACAATTGTCCCCTAAAGGGCCGTCATTTCCAGCGCAGAAAACAAGCAAAACACCAAAATCAATAGGCAATGTAAAGTTGGAAGCAGTTGTCGCTGTGTGAGCGTGATTACTTCCAAAAGGCAAGAGAAATGATGCCTTTTTCACCACTGCATCACCACGTCCGCACCTAGAACTGGAGGTGTGATGTGATAACAACCAATGAAAAAGAATGACTGTAGTATGTCAAAACAACGGGAATGGGTGTTTTGACGGACGCTGGGAATCCAACGATGCATCAGGATGGAACAATTTCATTGGTTGAATTTCCTTCAACGTGGCTAGTTTGGTTGTTACAAATAGGAACACCGTAGAAGCTGTAAAAGTGTAAAGAACTTTCCAACTCACTGACTTCAGCAGAAGCGAAACAGCAAGACGTAAGGTGTATTGTAAATAGCTTGAACGGGGCGTGGGAGAGCTAAAAATTTCCGCCCTCATGGCCCACCGGCTGAAGCCCAAACACAAAACAGCTCCGAGAATAGATACACGTGCGCAACACGCGGTGCTACAACTCACAGCAATCAAAGGCGTGAACAAACGATTACACACACACACACCCAGAGAGAGAAAGAGAGCCTAGACGCTTGTCGGATAGCATGAGGAAGCCGGGATCCAGGTGTAAGCGACTTACCTCCTGTGCTTACGTTTGTGCTTCTTGCTCGGGGGCGATCTACAAAACAGACACTCCTGGTGCAGAGCGCGATGTTTTTTAAGGCACAACCGATCTACGCTTGCTTCAGACTACGATATTCTTCGGCTGGTGAAGGTCGCCAACATCTTCTGAACCAATTTTAGACCGCCTTCACTTCAGGAAATGGACGGCGATTTTGGGTGAAAACAATAACATTTCCAGGTGACATCGTATTACACAGAAGTCTCGACATTACGGGGTTGCACGACCCAACTTCGTGGTTGGCTGGATATTACTGTAGTCAGGAGCAGTAACCAAGTACGAAACAACTGTAATTGGGTTTCGGTATCAGTTATTCTTGGAGTTGTACTTAAAAGGCAGATCATCACGATTAAGGTCGAGAGTTATTGACGACACAAGATGGAAAATAGCTACTCAGAAGGAGCACAAGCAATGACCAAAAAATTCGCAAATTCGGAGGCCAATGCAGGTGGATTGGGTGCAAAGAACTGTGCGTACGCACAAGAAGCCTAAATGCAAATTGAATGTGCATGAATGAGCTACGTCTTACCCGTGTGGAGATGCACTGGAGGTGACAAATACGTTGACATTATTTACCGTTACAAGGGTCTTCAGAAAAACGCAATCTTACCAAGAAGTCCCCACAGTAGACATTAATCTAACACCCTAACCAGTTACTAACATCGACCCGATTCAAATAATCACTATTTTTCGGAAAGCTAGGGAGCTAGATCGCACTACGACGATAGGTTGAATTAGGAGAAAATGGATGAGCAAAAACCTGGGAAAACTATGGTTAGTCAAAAGAAATCGTTTTCTTACAAAAATTTTGAGGATTAGGAGAAAATTGACCCGATATTAAGTGGGTAAATTCAACTCAAAAGATTACTGGCTGTGATAATAAGGGCACTAAATCGAATCAAACGGCAGACGTCGAGTTGACAAGCCTGCTTGTTAATTCGCTACAACGAGCAGCAGGAGAGGCAACGACTAACGCACCCAGTGGAGCTGATATTCCGCTTCTGGTGGTTCTGGGAGATGTAGTAGGTGATGAGGTGGCCGGTGAGGTGTTCGGTGAGCCAGCTTATTTCACGGAACTGGTAGCCCTGAAGGACTTCCGCGGAGATGCTGTCGAGGAGTTTGTACAGCTGAGTTTCGTCGGACAGGAGCTGAAGACGCTCCAGCAGTTGAAACACCAGACGGTCCAGGCTTTCAGAAGTGAAAATTACAGGTTAAACGCAAGTTAGAAATTGGCAAATGGTACTGATAAGTACAAGTAGAACCCTTGGGGTAGCGGGAATGTAAAAACAAAAGTCTACGCCAAAACTACGACAACACGGTAACTCTCGCGTAATGCGTGTCCAAAAGTACTAAACAGATGACCTCACCAGCATCTAGGTTTTTTATCAGATGTGAGTAGAGTGAGGTCGTGCACTAAGGTGATGCAATAATAATGCGATTAATTTAACCGTGATGAAGATTTTGTTAACTCTTTCCACAGACTAATCACACGGCTTTTCAGACCGACCTTCTTAAATAAGTTTAGCTTCCATCACAAAGAACGTTTCTGGACAAATAGGTGCATTAAAAAATTGTTCCGAAAAAACTTAGGCCAAGCGAGAAGACCGATGGCTTTAACACGTGAGTCTATGTATTATCGCGTGACATCTTGGCCCCCACGTATTTAGGGTAAAAATGTAGAGAAAAACAGGACTGACTTGCAGTATTCCGTGTAGAGGTTGGTGAGAAAGACGTCTGTGGGCATGTCCAATTGAACTCTAGATTGAAAATGAGCCTAAACGCGCGAAAAATGCCTCAATTGAGATGACACCTTCATAATCCAAACTGTTTGGAAATTAAATCAACGCGGGCCAATTACTAGATTAAAAAGTATAGAATTAACGGAGTTGATTAATCATTAAAGACCAAATCCAAACAGGAGCACAAACGAGGAATTTAAGTAAATAGAAAATCGCAAACGCGACCATTAGTTTAAAAGACGACGCAGAGAAATTGGTAAAGAATATTTGTTATCAAGTAGATTTTCGAGTGACACTTTTTTGAACCGTATTAAAATCCTATGGGGTGCCAAGACGGACTGTGATATTACTGAAGGGCTAAAAAATAGTTAACTAACCTTCAAATTTCGAGAAAACAGGGCCTGGATTAGATGAAACACAACATTCTCAGGTCGACGAAAAATTCGTATGATTTTAGCCTCAGTTTCTCCAAGAATGTCGGGTAACATTGATAAGTCACCTAAATCTTTAGGTAGGCACTAGGCACAAGAAATCGCAAAGTATGTGCATGTAAGGAAAAAACGCTATCAGGCAGAAGAATGTCAGTTTATACCTTAAGCATTTCTTCGATAAAAACATCAGCACATCCAGAGTGGCTCTTGGAAAAGGTGAGAACTTCAGCAATGCGACGCATCATCTCGTCATTCTCGACTGAGAAGTTATAGCGGAAGCGCTTGACTAGCAGATTTTCCAGATTCTGGCTGGCTACAGTAATTCTCTGCTTAGCAATGAGGAAACGTTCATCATCGGGCAGTTCTAAACAAAGTGCGCTTAGAGACCGAATGCTATTAGCTTTTTCCATAAGCTAAAAAGGAAATGACGTTAATGTATTCCGACAACAGAGCCACCTAGGCACGAAGGAAATGAATACCTGTGTTTCATCTGCTTGCGAATTAACAGACAGATTGGCAAATGTTCCGCCTCCAGCTCCAAGGAACTTAGAAAATTCAAGAATTAGCCGGCGGGCTTCTCGAAGACTTTCCCTAGGGGAGTTCTTCCGCTCGAGTTGATCTCCAAGGTGAATAATCTTGCCTGAAACCACATTTATCTTCGAATCAAGTTCCTTGAATGCACTATTTGCTTCCAAAAGCTGTTCACTCAACTGTGTCATTTCCGACAAAAAAGTTGCGTTACCTTGGCGACACTGATCCTAAAAATAAGCCGGGGAACATACGTTGCATGATTAGCTACAAATAAGAACTAGAATAGGGGCATGAATCGTAACCATGTCTATAAATCATGGCGACAAATCCTTAGTAAAATGATAACCTACAACGAAACCACATTTTAAATTAGTTTTGCGCTCTAACGTGTATGGGCGAAATTAGAAAAATCACAAATGAGATTCAACAGAAATTTCATAAACACGAAACAATAATAGTTTAGTCGTATAGAGAGTACACTCAAATTTAGCAAACTATTTACCTCTAAGCGTGCCGACTCAGATATTAGTTTCGCCCGTGCGTTCTGCATTTCATTTAGAGATTTTGTAAAGTAGATGCGCAACTTGGAGGGATCAATCGAAGCTGACGAAGGCAAGTTAGTGGTCGCTTTATCAGCTAAACGGTCAATCAATTCCGCTCCATAGTCTCGCTAGGTTGAATTAGATAAAGACGAATAAAGTTTACTTTATCAGATTCCACTAAATGGTTAAAGGTTTCCATTTGGACAGTTAGAACAGCTGTAGGGCTTATGTGAACACATAGGCCAGTCAATAGCGTCTCATCAACAGTGGCTAAATCACCACTTGTCTACACAACTTGGGGAACTAGCTCAGATAAATTATTTTCCAGAACCACCAACACCATTGGTTATGTTCAACAACTTAAAAGTAAAAAAATTATATGTGCTTAAAATTCTACTGATGGTAAAAGGGTTTTTAAAGTACGAGAACGTTAGTTTTAAATTAGAGGCGAAAACCATTTTTGAAATGCTCGAAAACAGTTTACACCAAGGAACAATTTAGTTTATAATAAAAACTTTGTTGTGTAAAATTATAAAATTACGTTTATGAGGTTCTTTGGCATAAGTATTTATCTTAAAATGGGTAACTGATGTTAAAGTTCAATTTGTAATGAATTGCGAGTTTCATGTGAAATCAAACGTTGCGTAAGAAGTTAAGTGTATTCACATCTAGTATCATTGTTGTCAATTTTCCAAACCCCATCGCAAATCTTTTTTAACAAATCGTATTTCTCTTACTTCCCCTATTTTTCAGAGTCGTCTTTGCTTTGCGTAAATGCTTAAACGTGCCTCTCCACTTTAAATCCGATTCGCTGAGACAGGCACGCTTTAATTCGCGCAAAACACCCCTAACCGTGCTGTTTAACAAACAGTTTTACTATCACCCTGCTTTGCTTTCACTCCAGAATAAATGTGAATTGTTATAGAACCTGAATTCAAAAGTGACCCCGATGTGGGCTAGAGTTCTTTAAAGGTGTCACCATATATAGATAGTTTTTGTGAATTTCCAGAAAAGAACAATAAGGTTAAAAAAGAGGCAATGGTTTGTGAGCTTAACAATCCCAGACGAATTAGAAAGTTTAAACAAATGTGCATGCTTATACATGTGCTTGCAAAAGGGGATCAAAGGACTCAAACTGAACAGGGGTTCGCTGTAAGTTTGGTTTAGAATTGCCCGCGAAGACCTTCATGCAATCAAAGAAACTTTCAGTCTTATGTTAAAGTGACTTTAAAATAAGTCGGTTTCACATAATTACACCTATTGTGAAATGCTGTGCAGCATTCATCTTTGTTTCATATGAAATAATCATTTTACTATGCAATTTACTGACACTTCCTATATGAACTTATACAGAGACTGCTGTGTATGATTCCTTAAATGTTACCTATATCCAAAGGTGGAGAGTGACTAATCAGTTTGGTTCTAACACGCGCAGATGAAGCGATGCAAGCTTTATCCCAAATAGCTGTACCTGTATTCCCCGATTTTCATCAGCAGTTACCTATCTTTTAGCCCTTTTTTACTCAGTTACCCAAACGACCAGTAAAATAGGGCTCGTTACACGCTTGACTGCTTCAATAACCCAAAAAAACGTATAGACCATTTGGGTGTATCCAAGCTACCATTACTCCCACAACACCAATTAGGTTTATTAACGGTTACAATACCGTTTTAATTATTCTGCCATGATTTGTTTTCTAATGCTAATTTGGATGGGACTAACAAATGCCTCTAATAGTCATTCTAGTTTGGGTGACAACTTTTCATAAACCCAACCCAAATACAATCATCACTGATATAACCCAACATGTACTTAGGATTATGCTGCTAATCTCACCCGACTAATCCTTTTCCTCATAATTGACTACTTGCAAATGGCGGTAATTTTTTAACGTCAGTGGACAACGTAGCCAACAGTTAACTAACTACTACGAGGAGTCTTGCGACAACCAAGACACCACCTATGCTCATTCGTTTGCTTAACAATAGCATTTTAAAGAAGAAAAATTGAAAGTAGAACAGTTTATATACAGTTGAGAACAATCACATAAAGGCATACAACAAGTGGAAATACCACGTGATTTTATGTACAAATTCAGCAAATCCGGCTTTCACTGAGTCACTAAAAGGACAAAATGACACATGAATGATGTTGACGGCTTAATCAAAGAACATGAGGCGGTCGATGAGACCACGTTAAACCAATTTTGACCGAAAACGAAAGCGGTGGCGAAGTGTGAAGTTTACTTAAGGATGATGTGATCATTATTCGCAAAATCGAAAACTGGGTAGCAGCCACCCTGGAGTCAACGGAGGTTACAAGTATAAAAAACCGATAATTTATTGTTCCTACATAATGTAAGATTCTGTAATTGGCAATTGGATGGACTCAAATATCCAGAAACCTACAATTCGAACCAAACACGGGCTCGAACAATGCTAGTACTAGAATTTTAACGAGTTGCTAAAGCAAGAACACAGTACAATCGGATTACTGCAAAACTCACAATAATTCGGAGACCCATAGGTCCCAAGAACGTTTTGGATTTAGACGAAAACCCCGAGTGAAAACTAAACAAACTCTTACAAAGATCTCATCGTCATCATCACTCAAATGCTCCATTCTTCTTTTGGCGGGGGGTGAGGAATCGTCCGTTTGCTGCCTCGCAGTTGACTCGAACATTGTGTCCTCGTTTGCGTCACTCCGGTCTCCATCCATTGATCCCTCCTTCTCCGGGAGTCTGACCATCGATCGACCCTCACGGACTCGAACTAGGAGCACACCCTCTGCCAGGGGGAGGCAAGCCGGCCTCCTGTTCCCATAGAGCGTGAAGTAGAGATCAGCTACAGCACAGCGCAATCTCGAGTCCCCCGCACAGCCGTAGTTCATCAGGGCCCACAGTCGGTCAACCAGCTGCGGCTTGTCCAGTCTACTTCCCGTCTCTCCACGTGGAAACGGAGGAGTGTTTATGAGAAGGCGGACAGTTTCGTAGCGAAGACGAGGATACGATGCCTCTGAGTCGACATTCTTCTCGATTATTTCATCAAACAGCCAGTCTAAAGCAGCCTGGTCCCTCTCAACACGAACGTAGTCAGCCAGACACTTGATGGCCGCCAACCGCACGTCCGTGTATTGACCGGGGGAGGCTGCTTTGTAGAAGAACTTTGGTTCGACCGGGAGAAACCCAAATCGCTGAAGGCGACGTATGGCGAGGAGACATGCCACGGTGACGGCTTTCTTGTAGCTAGGGATCTGTGAGTCGAGATTTATGCACCGAGCCACCTCCTCAACCACCGTCCGCACCTCAAGGGGCAGTGAGGAGACCGAAATCACGCCGCGCATGACAATCGCAGGAGTCAGCGTGTCCTTCATGGCTTTAATCAACTCGGCGCGATAGTAGCAATCTGAATAGTCGTTTCGCGAGTTGTCATTGTAGCGGTTCAACTCAACCAGAAAGTTCAGCACGTCACGAGGACAGACTTGCTGGACACGCAGGGTGGCAACAGCCCGCACGATGGCCTTTTGCAGGAAGTAGCGTTGGAGATTGGAGAAGTCGTTCTGACGGACGAGTCCACGGGCCATGGGGGAGGAGTAGAGTTGCCAAAACAGGGGAATCAGAACCGACGAGGTTTGATGGGGATGATGACTGGAACCTCCCCCAACCCCACCACCACCAGCAGCACCGCCAAGGCCACTACCTCCACCGACGCTTGCTAATTCGTTGGCGACGCGACAGAGGACGAAACAGGCGTCGGTTCTCACTCGGTAGTACACCTAGAAAATGGGCAACAAACGAGTAACACGCCTAGAGTTCGTCACTTCAACCCGGCTGGGCTCAGATTGAAGTCTTAGTTACAACTTTTATCAACAAATTTTTGGCTTTTTAGCCATTGAGATGGCGTTTCCGTTCTGGCAAAGGAACTGCAGATTCAAGAACTGGCAAATATGTAATACAGCCAGACTTAAACGATGACTTGATCTTATGTGGAGGCATAAACATAACACTTGATAGCTTGCCTTTTCGTCCCCGACGATATTGGACAATGCATGACGAGTTTCAGGTGACGCGAAGTCAGCTAAAGCATGCACAGCCTCCAATTGGCCAAGACAGTCCCGATCGTAAGTCAGCATCAGGTGCCACGCGAAGTCCGCCTGTTCCGTGTGGATGCTCCGGATCACCGTCAGGTCGGGATCTAGTCGCAGCCAAAGGAGGGGAGAGTCGGAGTCGATCCGACCCAGATCCATTTCGACCTCATCGCCGTTGGAGAGAGGAATCTTCTTCTTCTTGTGCTTTCGTGATTTCGAGTGGCACTGCAGATCCCTGGAGGTCCGGCCCTCTTCCAGTTTGAAGGTGTGCATGAAGGGTCCGTCAAGCTCCTGCAGCATGGCGGTCAACGGACCGGTGTAGTTAAGGGTGCTGCGCGATTGGAGATCCTGCCAGGACGAGTCACATTACATTTAATGCTGCATGCTTAGGAGACTGTAAATCCTAACCACTGAGACATCCGCAACGTTTCTCGGGAAATCCGCAAAACAAACTCACCTGTTTCAATTCTAGTTCAACAACGTTGCGCTTCCGATTGAAATGGAACTTGGCGAAGAGGCGAACGTGACCCGGTTTGAAGACCCATTGGTCAAGGAAGTTTTCTATATCCTGTCCCGTAACTGTGGAGATTATCCGCCTGAAAAATTCGGTGGAAAGAAGCAAGTTGGAACGGTTCTCATCGCTCAACAACGGGGGCACGACGCCGTCCCGACCGCTGCTCGCGGCATTGCCTGGCGCTGAGGCGACGTCGGTGGACAACTCCTCGTCCGAACCGGAGGACTGATTGGTTGATAAACGAGCCAATGCGAAGAGTTTGTTAAAAACCTGTAGAATTACGCGTTGACCGAATCGCATGCCTAGCATCCTGATCACCAGGTGGGACTTTTTGATGTAGACGTTTAGGTATTCTGGAGAGAGGACCTGGGAAGGAAGAATACGCCAAGAACTAGAACGTACATCCAAGAAATGTTCTAGACCGCAAGAGTAAACTACGAATTTCGTCGGAGCTTGCAACAGGTAAATTCGGTACTCAAGCCAAACCGAGCTAGCGAATATATCAAATAACGTACCTGGGGGTGTTTTAGGCTGAAATACGTATTCTTACGAATCGTATTACTCGGGTCCAAGATGATGCCATGCCGCGTGTGTTCGTACATAGTCACGGTCCGCATTTCATTGGCGATGAGGTAGCGGTACTCATTATTGCCAAAGACCCGTTTCTGATAAAGTCCGGCAAGGTAACCGGCTATGCCGTAGGGCAACCAGGCACCACACCACGTCTCGGCTTGCAGCGCGCACCCGAAAAATTGCTGTGCAACTGCAAATGCAAAAACACGACGAGTTGCAATCGCCTGGTCGATTATGCGCGCCGAGTGCAGTAAATCGACGGAGAAGACTATGAGTGAGGCGAACGATTGGTGATCCTCGAACGCGCGATCGACAAACACCGTTTTTAAGGAGTGAAACGGAAACTGTGAGGCTAGCTCGCCCTCGTAGTATTCGACAACCCCTGCGAGCGGTTGAATAGTGTGTTCCAACAGGGGAAGTAGACCTTTTGGGCAAAAGTGGGTGATGATCGTGGTACCCGTCGACTCATTCGGGTCAGGAAAGATGTCAAAGGCACCGACCGCCAGACCAATAGAAGGCGCCGAGGTGGGATGTGCGAGGTAGAATTGGTACGTTTTTGAGCGCAAGTCGTCGGTGTACTCGGGAGGACCAAGGAGTTCACCAGGTGCTATGGCGACGAAGTCGTCGTCAACGGTGATTTCAATCTTCCAGGTGCACGGTTCGCTGCAGTCAAGGCACGGAAACCAAGCACGAGAGGAGTTTGGGGGGCCCCCGGTAAAAGCGCACGCACTCTCCAGAGAACCGTCTTCTGGGATGACGAAATGGAAGCCATACGTGGGACGAGTGAGCGAGAATTCGATGGTGATCAAAAGAGGTCGTTTCTCCTGAACGAGGCTGAAGAAAGTGGGTGGAATCCGAATGGTCAATTCTCCACCTCCCTCATCTGGGTCGGCAGCAGCGACTGCTGAAGTGTGCTTCGTTTCAAAACTATCCAAGGTTCGAAACTTGGAATCTTGCTTGTATATTTCAATACAAGGGTCCGAGAAAGAAACTGGTACGTCGGTAGGGGGATAAATGCGCGAATAGGGGTCCACGGGACCCTTAAAATGATCTTCTGCAGCCTCCAAAAGAACCCGATGCACACGACACTGGCGCACATTCAGAGGGATACGCCTGAGAGAGGTATCCAGCGGCCAAACTACCAACTGGGTAAAACCAAGCACAATGCATTGAGAGAAGTCGATGTTTGTAAGACAGAGTGCTTGGTGAGCAATACGAAAGGCTCTCTTTGTTGGTGCAGATTTTGGCAGGGTGGTGGGTTGACTCATCTAAAAACGGGTTCCTAAAATATGAAAGACTTGTAGCAGTGAGCATTCTGTCCTGCCGTAGAATGACTTCCCCAGGACTTAGCGAGAGAAGAAAAACTTACGAAATATGATTAATTCTACAGCTGAGATTTTACTACAGGCCAAGTGGATAAATAAAGGAAGAAGTATCCCAGTTTACGAAAGAGGCGCAAAAATAGGCATATTCCATCCAAAAATATCAGACTTGTTAAGGTTTTGTTAAATACTTCTAATCAGTCTTTATAGGATTCATGGCACCCAAGTCTGGTACCCTTGGGTGCAGAATAAGTACTCTAGGAAATTACATTTTCGGCATTTTAGTCGACTTAACTTTACATTATTAGAGCGTAGGAGCCTCAATTTTGTATTTGATGAGAAAGTAAAATATTGTTACTCCAAATTTACTTTGCAGTTTCTAGAGACTGAAAATCGAAACGAAGAACCATTGAACTAGTAGAATTAGAAAAACCTAGTAGCAGCACTTTTGCTCCACGCCATAAAAATATCCCAACACATGGCACTTGTCCTCAATTAGGATGTGTAACGTTACCCTGCGTTATATGTTAAGTCACACCAGTAACCTTAACTAAACGTTTGTCCAAAATACACTATTCCGCCAGTCAGATTAGTTCGACATTTACAAAGCTGGTCCAGGCACTACTTCAGCTCTATGCATTCGACGCTTTATAACAGTAGTCTTATATTTAAAAAATCATAAGTTACAATATCTTCGATTATTTCTCGCCCTCGAAAAAATAAGCAAGACACGATCCAAAAACGCATACACATGAACACAAACCGGAAATTCTCTAAGGTAACTATTTCTACCATTTAATTAGGTTGCAAAAGGTTCAAGAAAGATTACACCATTTCCTTTGCTAAAAAGTTGATTCGTTAATAAAGTTGATCAAATTAAAAACCACTATCGCTAGAATACCTAAAAAACTACAGGTATTGCCACACATTTGGAAATTTATAAAAACTAGAAACTGTCGCGACGTATGAAGGGCGCAGGCATGTGGTGTGGTGTGGCGTCGGG